CTGTATTACCTCAGCAAAAAAACTGTATGAACATAAGATTCAACAACTGAGACATAAACTGAACAAGTTCCACAGACATGTGACCAACATAAATGGAATAATATGTCCCTGATTAAAGGGGGGGTCAAAATCAAAAGTAACAGTATCTGGTGTCGCCACCTGCTGCATTAAGTACTGCAGTGTATCTCCTCCTCATGGACTGCACCAGATTTGCCAGTTCTTGCTGTGAGATGTTAACCCCACTCTTCCACCAAGTTCCCAGACATTTCTGGGGGGAATGGCCCTAGCCCTCACCCTCCGATCCAACAGGTCCCAAACATGCTCAATGGGATTGAGATCCGGGCTCTTTGCTGGCCATGGCAGAACACTGACATTCCTGTCTTGCAGGACATCACGCACAGAACGAGCAGTATGGCTGGTGGCATTGTCATGCTGGAGGGTCATGTCAGGATGAGCATGCAGGAAGGGTACCACAGCTTTGAGATTGCCTGCAATGACAACAAGCTCAGTCCGATGATGCTGTGACTCACCGCCCCAGACCATGACGGACCCTCCACCTCCAAATCGATCCCGCTCCAGAGTACAGGCCTCGGCGTAACGCTCATTCCTTCGACGATAAACGCAAATCCGACCATCACCCCTGATGAGACAATACCGTGACTCATCAGTGAAGAGCACGTTTTGCCAGTCCTGTCTGGTCCAGCGACGGTGGGTTTGTGCCCATAGGCGACGTTGTTGCCGGTGATGTCTGGTGAGGACCTGCCTTACAACAGGCCTACAAGCCCTCAGTCCAGCCTCTCTCAGCCTATTGCGGACAGTCTGAGCACTGATGGAGGGATTGTGCGTTCTTGGTGTAACTCGGGTAGTGTTGCCATCCTGTACCGCAGGTGTGATGTTCGGATGTACTGATCCTGTGCAGGTGTTACATGTGGTCTGCCACTGCGAGGATGATCAGCTGTCTGTCCTGTCTCCCTGTAGCGCTGTCTTAGGCGTCTCACATTACGGACATAGCAATTTATTGCCCTGGCCACATCTGCAGTCCTCATGCCTCCTTGCAGCATGCCTAAGGCACGTTCACGCATCTTTCTTTTGGTGTTCTTTTGGTGTTTTTCAGAGTCCGTAGAAAGGCATCTTTTTAGTGTCCTAAGTTTTCATAACTGTGACCTTAATTTCCTACCGTCTCTAAGCTGTTAGTGTCTTAACGACCGTTCCACAGGTGCATGTTAATTTAATTGTTTATGGTTCATTGGACAAGCATGGGAAACAGTGTTTATACCCTTTACAATGAAGATCTGTGAAGTTATTCAGATTTATACAAATGATCTTTGAAAGACAGGGTCCTGAAAAGGGGACGTTTCTTTTTTTGCTGAGTTTAGGGGCTCTCTTTACATAACCTGTTCAACCATCAAGGTCTGTGTCCTATTTTATTATCTCCGCTTATTACCTTTTGGTGTTCAGAGCTTTTGATTTATATGTTTGACGTGCAAATTGATCTCTCGACTGTCATGGCAAAACAGTGCCTCACCTTATGCCATCCCCTCCATCAGGCGACGACGACTCTAAAAAGGACCAGAAGGCAAAGAAGAAAGAGAAGAAGAAAGATGAGGATCAACACAGTGAAGGTAAGGATGATAGCAACAAGGAAGGCTAAATGAAATCTTGTACTTTTTCCTCTAGCATAATGGATTTGATGGTCGCTCTCTCTGCCTGATCTCTCATGCAAAAGACTGATTGTACCTCAATGAAGGTAACCTGAAATAAGATGACAATATAATAATTATAGACAGTCAGTCAGTGAAAGAAAACTATTTGATCCCCTGCTGATTTTGTACGTTTGCCCACTGACAAAGAAATGATCAGTCGATAATTTTAATGGTAGGTTTATTTTAACAGTGAGACAGAATAACAACAAAATAATCCAGAAAAACGCATGTCGAAAATGTTATAAATTGATTTCCATTTTAATGAGGGAAATAAGTATTTGACCCCCTCTCAATCAGAAAGATTTCTGCCTCCCAGGTGTCTTTTATACAGGCAACGAGCTGAGATTAGGAGCACACTCTTAAAGGGAATGCTCCTAATCTCAGTTTGTTACCTGTATAAAAGACACCTGTCCACAGAAGCAATCAATCAGATTCCAAACTCTCCACCATGGCCAAGACCAAAGAGCTCTCCAAGGATGTCAGGGACAAGATTGTAGACCTACACAAGGCTGGAATGGGCTACAAGACCATCGCCAAGCAGCTTGGTGAGAAGGTGACAACAGTTGGTGCGATTATTCGCAAATGGAAGAAACACAAAATAACTGTCAATCTCCCTCGGCCTGGGGCTCCATGCAAGATCTCACCTCGTGGAGTTGCAATGATCATGAGAACGGTGTGGAATCAGCCCAGAACTACACGGGAGTATCTTGTCAATGATCTCAAGGCAGCTGGGACCATAGTCACCTAGAAAAACAATTGGTAACAACACTACGACCGTGAAAGGACTGAAATCCTGCAGTGCCCGCAAAGGTCCCCCTGCTCAAGAAAGCACATATACAGGCCCGTCTGAAGTTTGCCAATGAAACATCTGAATGATTCAGAGGAGAACTGGGTGAAAGTGTTGTGGTCCTCTTTAGCTCAACTGCTGTAGAGCAACTGGCGCTTGTCAAACGCCCATTATGTAGGTGGTTCGAAACCCCTGGAGATGGACCCATACACAAAAATGCATGCACGCATACTGTCAGAAGACACATGGATAAGGCCTAGCAGTCTCCAGCCTAATCCTATAGAAAATCTGTGGAGGGAGCTGAAGGTTTGAGTTGCCAAACGTCAGCCTCGAAACCAAGATCTGCAAAGAGGAGTGGGACAAAATGCCTCCTGAGATGTGTGCAAACCTGGTGGCCAACTACAAGAAACGTCTGACCTCTGTGATTGCCAACAAGGGTTTTCGCCACCAAGTACTAAGTCATGTTTTGCAGAGGGGTCAAATACTTATTTCCCTCATTAAAATGCAAATCAACTTATAACATTTTTGACATGCGTTTTTCTGGATTTCTTTGTTGTTATTCTGTCTCTCACTGTTCAAATAAACCTACCATTAAAATTATAGACTGATCATGTCTTTGTCAGTGGGCAAACGTACAAAATCAGCAGGGGATCAAATACTTTTTTCCCTCACTGTGTATATATATTTAAAGGGAATTAGTGAGTGATTTGCTGTTTGTCTCGGCTCGGAGGGCTGTGACAGTGGTGGGGTGGTGAAGACTGTTGGCTTGTATTGTAGATGACGGAGAGGAGTGCTGTGACAGTGGTGGGGTGGTGAAGACTGTTGGCTTGTATTGTAGATGACGGAGAGGAGTGCTGTGACAGTGGTGGGGTGGTGAAGACTGTTGGCTTGTATTGTAGATGACGGAGAGGAGGGCTGTGACAGTGGTGGGGTGGTGAAGACTGTTGGCTTGTATTGTAGATGACGGAGAGGAGGGCTGTATTCTGTGCCATGTTTCAAGTTTTTTCATGTCACATGCACAAGTACAGTGAAATGCCTTTCTTGCAAGCTCTAAACCCAACAATGCAGTAATCAATATCAATGTAGCACAAAAAATAACATAAGGTAGAACAAAAACACACAAGAAATAGAAATAAGAACGCGTAGGTAAGAAGTTAGATACAGGGTCCGTTCCAATACCATATTTACAATGATATTTGTAGGGGTAAGGTGACTAGGCATCAGGATATATGATAAACAGTAGCAGCAGTGTATGTGAGTGCGTGTGAAGTCAGTATAAATATGTGCGCATGTTATGTGTGTTTTGAGTGTGTAGAGTCCTGTGAGTGTGCTTAGATGGTGTAAAAATAAAATACAAGGGGCAACTCAGTCAGTGAAGCCATTGTTAGCTATTTATCAGTCTTATGGCTTGGGGATAGAAGCTGTTCAGGATCCTGTTGGTGTCAGATTTGATGCACTGGTACCGCTTGCCATGCGGAAGTGGAGGGAACAGTCTATGGCTTGGGTGGCTGGAGTCTTTTAATGATTTTCTGGGCCTTCCTGACTATGTCTCTTCTCTTTCTGAACCTCAGACTGTAGGGACAGTGGTCGGGTGTAGGGATGGGCATGGATATTCGAATATCCGAACAGACTTTAGTATTCGATTACTTGCGAGAGTATTCATTTTTGAGAAGTTAGAGGCCTTTTTTTAATGTAAAATGCTTTGTCTAAAATTATCAATATGACATTGCTACATACAAGGATAGACCATGACATTCAACATTTTTAGAAAAAAAGTTTTGACCGTTTTTGAGTGCGCCCAATAAAGAAAGATGTACCGGTAGCCTACACACTTTTCACGCTTGTAATTGTCGGTCAATCAAAGCAGCATTACCGTTAGAGGCTCCATGTGTAGCAAGTGAAGTGGGAGATTTCTAATCGATGCAAAAAGGAATAACAATGACGTAATTAAGTTGGCTAAATGAGAAGGAGTAGGCTACATTGATCAACCAACTGGTAGGCTGTTTAATATGAATGGACGCGAGAAGTGCTGCAAAATGGCCTCGCTAGCTGACTAACTTAACTGGCTAGTGTAGCTAGCTAGCTTCTTTACATGAGATGATAATCTATCACCGCCACAAGTTTGTCTAACTTGCGCGAGTCAGTTGGGCTACTTTCTCTCTCCTTCCGTGTCAGACACACTGGCCCCTGCTCATCTCGCGTCCCTCCCCACCATCTGTGCTGAAACAAGAGAGCGCCACGCAAGCAAGACCCCATTGAAGTAGGAAAAGTCGTTTTAATATAATTGTGAAATAATTTCAAATGCCCATCCCTAGTTGGGGGAAGACTACTGTAATAATGTATGACTATATGACTCTTCTCTCTCTGACCAGACGGTAGTGACAGTGGTCGGGTGGTGATGACTACTGTAATAATGTATGACTCTTCTCTCTCTGACCAGACGGTAGTAACAGTGGTCGGGTGGTGATGACTACTGTAATAATGTATGACTCTTCTCTCTCTGACCAGACGGTAGTGACAGTGGTCGGGTGGTGAAGACGGTCCAGGAGCGTTGGAGGGAGTCTCTGCTGGGCTGTTCCAGCCTGTCCCAGGTCTTCCTCCACCTCTCCACCCTGGAGCGCAGTGTCATCTGGGCCAAGTCCCTGCTCAACGCCCGCTGTAAGGTCTGCCGCAGGAAGGGAGATGCAGAGAACATGCTGCTGTGTGACTGTTGCGACCGAGGACACCACATCCACTGTGTCCGCCCGAAACTCAAGGTAGGATGAATGATGCTTTTCTTCACACCTGGTCTATGGATGCCCCGTGTTTCCCCTCTGCTACCAAAAAATTGGTATGCAACCTTTCAAGGTTCATTTGGGGACCCTGTTGTCTTTTCTTCAAAAGTAACCTGCTGAAAGAGTGTAGTTCCAGGTTGCCTGTAACCCTGCTGTCAACTGTACTGGTGTAATCATCTAAACCTGTAACCCTGCTGTCTACTGTGCCGGTGTAATCTAAACCTGTAACCCTGCTGTCTACTGTACCGGTGTAATCTAAACCTGTAACCCTGCTGTCAACTGTACCGGTGTAATCATCTAAACCTGTAACCCTGCTGTCTACTGTACCGGTGTAATCTAAACCTGTAACCCTGCTGTCAACTGTACCGGTGTAATCATCTAAACCTGTAACCCTGCTGTCTACTGTGCCGGTGTAATCTAAACCTGTAACCCTGCTGTCTACTGTACCGGTGTAATCTAAACCTGTAACCCTGCTGTCAACTGTACCGGTGTAATCATCTAAACCTGTAACCCTGCTGTCTACTGTGCCGTGTAATATCTAAACCTGTAACCCTGCTGTCTACTGTGCCGGTGTAATCATCTAAACCTGTAACCCTGCTGTCTACTGTGCCGGTGTAATCATCTAAACCTGTAACCCTGCTGTCTACTGTGCCGGTGTAATCTAAACCTGTAACCCTGCTGTCAACTGTACCGGTGTAATCTAAACCTGTAACCCTGCTGTCTACTGTGCCGGTGTAATCATCTAAACCTGTAACCCTGCTGTCAACTGTACCGGTGTAATCATCTAAACCTGTAACCCTGCTGTCTACTGTGCCGGTGTAATCTAAACCTGTAACCCTGCTGTCTACTGTGCCGGTGTAATCTAAACCTGTAACCCTGCTGTCTACTGTACCGGTGTAATCTAAACCTGTAACCCTGCTGTCTACTGTGCCGGTTATCTAAACCTGTAACCTGCTGTCAACTGTACCGGTGTAATCATCAAACCTGTAACCCTGCTGTCTACTGTGCCGGTGTAAATCTAAACCTGTAACCCTGCTGTCTACTGTGCCGGTGTAATCTAAACCTCTCCTTTGCTCTGTGTTGTGTCCAGGCCGTCCCAGAAGGGGACTGGTTCTGCCCTGAGTGCCGTCCCAAACAGCGAGCCAACCGCCTCACCTCCCGCCAACGGTCCTCTGTTGACTCTGAGGAGGAAGTAGAGGAAGAGGAGAACTCGGAGGAAGAAGACTCTGAGGAAGTGGAATCTGGGGAGGAGACTGAGGAGGAGAAGAGGTGTGTGTGTGTGTGTGTGTGTTCTGAGCGTCACTAAACTTCATTGGGTTGATATTAGGGCTGACCCCGTTTAGTCGATAGGCTGTTGGTTGACCGAGACTTCTTTAGTCGAGACACCTGTCTGATTTGCGCCTTTCTCAGTGGACTAATCCATTGTGGAGGCCGTGGGGATGGCACAGTCCATCACTCGAAGACGTGCTACTGAAGTTGTATATGGTTATATTACATGAGAACAATGGTGCAACACTATTACAAATAATATTTATTCCATAACATGCGCTTTCTCCCGCGTTGGATAGTGGTTGCTGTCCGTGGTTCTGAAACGTGATCTTCAGTGTGCCGTTGAATTGGCGCCTTGTCCTAGACCATGTTACTATGTTAACCAGCGTATTGGTGTTGAGAACAATGTGGCGGAGACAAAGGAAGTGAGGAGATGAGGAAACGGCCCTTGCCTTAATTGTCTTAAGAATTTAGGCGAGATGAAACCCCAACTTAATTAGGTCTATAATCAACCTAACTGTTAAATTTGCCTGGCTTTATAACTCATCCATATATATCTACAGAAATGAGACATATCCTGTTTGAGTGTTTGTTTAATAGCCTACTGATTCCGTGAGCACAAAGCCTCACGCAACCACATGTCGGATAAAGCAATTTCACAAATTAGGCTGTTTTTAATATCTTTATTATGCTGTAATAAAGGCTTTAAAAAATATTGTTAGAAGAAACTCTGGTATTAAAATGTATTTAGTGTTTACACTGTTCCAAACGGTCAGAAAAATATTGTCATCTAACAGCACTTGTGACACATATGCATGCAGCTCTCGCTCCTATACCCTCCTTTTTCTAGATCTCCTGATCTCATTGTTATTATTACAGTTATTATTAGCTGTAGGCCTAAGAGCACGTCCTGTTTAGTGTTAATACCGTAACTTAGGCCTATTTCAATATATAGGCTACTGTATTAATCATTCGTTCATGTAATCTCACAGCATATGTGCTTTGTGATGCAATCAAGCATTTTAGTTTTAAAATGAAATAACAAAGGGAGCTTTGGATAATTATCCTAAACAATAAAAAATAACTGTTTTTGTCTTTGCTGTAATAAAGGCTACATAAAAAATATCGTTAGGACAGTCTCTGGTACAGTTATAATTTATTTAGTGTTTACACTGTTCCAAAAGGTCCGAAAAAAAGTATACTGTAATCTGACAGCACCTGTTTGGCACATATAATACTCACGCAGCCCTTGCTCCTATACCATCCTTTCCACAACTAAGTCAAATGTCTTAGAGATCGGACTTCCTCCTGAGCAACCAGTAAACATTCCTCTGTTTCGAGTTTATTTTTCACGTCCACCGCATCCATTTTGCTGTCACGTGTTGAGGTATTTCAGTAACAACTTTTCAGTCAGAAACAACAAACAAAATGGCTGTAATTATGTTGCAGCTTCAGCATGGACGGCGCGATAAACACTTGCTCTGCTGCCTGTCCGCTGCAGCAGGGAGGAGAGGGACAACGTGCGCTAGTCAGACACTCGCTGTCATTTTTAATGTATTTTTTACTCAACGTGGCCATCGATCTCCCTTTTGAGTCATTTGTGTGTCTTAATTATTTCATCAAACATTGCGCTTAAAGCATCAGACAAGCTCAGTGCATAGGGGGTGTCTACATCGATTGGTCGGAAGAACAGACTCTCGGTCGACCAAGATGATTAAAAAAATGTTGTACATTTTAATACTTTAAAACATAATAAAAACAACCCAACACATTTTGTTTATTCAGATATCTGAAGTTTCCCTCCCCCGATTCTGTCTCCCTCTTATCCTTTAGTGCTGCTAAAAAGGTCCGGACTGCTGTGAAACCTCCTGTGCCTACTACCAAAGGAGGTCGGTCGAACAGCAGGACCAACTCAAGTCATTCCACCCCCCGGAGCCAGCAGACCACCCCCAAACAGGTCCTCTCAGCCGGGAAGGGAGCCACCTCCAGGTCTTCAGGGAAGAAGCCCACCCCAGTCTCCAACAAGCCCACTCCAGTCTCCAACGGCAGACCACGGCCAGGCAGCAGAGTCAGCTCCCGGCTCAGTAATGAGATATTGGCCACCAACGGTAGCTCTAGCAGGCCAGGAAGCCAGCCCGTTCCATCTCCCTCTCAGGCAGACTCCCGTAAAAGACCAATCTCAGGTAAGACCAGTTCTAAAGACGGGGAGTTGGAAGAGGGTTGTTGTATTGGGTGATAAAAATACAAAATGGTGTTCTTGTAAAGTAGTGTGTCAACATTGCCAGGGTCTTTTATATTGCTGAAGATGTAATGCAAAAAAAATCTGTACAGAAGTGTTGAATTGTCATTTTCTCATGTAGCACTTGAAAATACTCAGGGGGGTGTATCAAATACACAACCTCCCTCTAGTTGGGGCTTTCTCACTCTGTGCTCATCTTTGCATTGATATTCACCATCAACTGCTTCGACTCTGTTTCTCCAGCAGAGGTCTCCCACAAGCCCAAGCTGGTCCTGACTCCCTCAGTCTCAGGTTTTTCGTCCAATCGTCGTAGCTCAGGGAGGAACCTAGGAGTCCATGAGCTGTCTGCCTGCGAGCAGATGACTGTAGAGCTAGTCAGACATGAAGACAGCTGGCCCTTCATGAAACTGGTGTCTAGGACACAGGTAATACATTACTTTAAAGGTAGATAGGAGAGGCACACAGAGCGACATGCATGCAAACACAGAGCCATGCATGCATGCATGCATTTAAAGACCCAGCACACACCCATGCAAGCGCTTCTATGAATACACGTTTTCCTATAGTATTACCTAACTAGCTACGTCACTTGTGACACATATACCGTGCCTTCAGAAAGTATTCATATACAGTTGAAGTCGGAAGTTTACATATTTTACATTTTAGACATTTAGCAGACGCTCTTATCCAGAGCGACTGAGTGCATACATTATTTTTTTTATTTTTCATACTGGTCCATACACTTAGGTTGGAGTCATTAAAACTTGTTTTTCAACCACTCCACAAATTTCTTGTTAACAAACTATAGTTTTGGCAAGTCGGTTAGGACATCTACTTGCATGACAAGTAATTTTTCCAACAATTGTTTACAGACAGATTATTTCACTTATAATTCACTGTATCACAATTCCAGTGGGTCAGAAGTTTACATACACTAAATTGACTGTGCCTTTAAACAGCTTGGAAAATTCCAGAAAATGATGTCATGGCTTTAGAAGCTTCTGATAGGCTAATTGACATCATTTGAGTCAATTTGGAGGTGTACCTGTGGTGTACCTGTGGATGACCCCAATCATACTTCCAAAGTTGTGGCAAAATGGCTTAAGGACAACAAAGTCAAGGTATTGGAGTGGCCATCACAAAGCCCTGACCTCAATCCTATAGAAAATGTGTGGGCAGAACTGAAAAAGCGTGTGCGAGCAAGGAGGCCTACAAACCTGACTCAGTTACACCAGCTCTGTCAGGAGGAATGGGCCAAAATTCATCCAACTTATTGTGGGAAGCTTGTGGAAGGCTACCTGAAACGTTTGACCCAAATTAAACAATTTAATGGCAATGCTACCAAATACTAATAGAGTGTATGTAAATGTCTGACCCACTGGGAATGTGATGAAAGAAATAAAAGCTGAAATAAATCATTCTCTCTACTATTATTCTGACATTTCACATTCTTAAAATAAAGTGGTGATCCTAACTGACCTAAGACAGAGAATGAATTTTTACTAGGATTAAATGTCAGGAATTGTGAAACTGAGTTTAAATGTATTTGGCTAAGGTGTATGTATATTGGCTAAGGTGTATGTATACTTCCAACTTCAACTGTACCCCTTGACTTATTCCATATTTTGTTGTTACAGCCTGAATTCAAAATGGATTCAATTGATTTTTTTTCTAACCCATCTGTCCATTAATGAGAAAGTGAACACATGTTTTTAGAAATGTTTGCGCATTTATTGAAAATGAAATTTCTTTTTACATAATTATTCACACCCCTGAGTAAATACTTTTGTAGAAGCACCTTTGGCAGCGATTACAACTGTGAGTCTTTCTGGATAAGTCTAAGCTTTGCACACCTGGATTGTGCAACGTTTGCCATTTTTATGCTTTTCAAAATTCTTCAAGCTCTGTCAAATAGTTTGTTGATCATTGCTAGACAACCATTTTCAGGTCTTGGCATAGATTGTAACTCGGCCACTCAGGAACATTCACTGTCTTGTTGGTAAGCCACTTTGGCCTTGTGTTTTAGGTTATTGTCCTGCTGAAAGGTGAATTCATCTCCCAGTGTCAGGTGGAAAGCAGACAACCAGGTTTTCCTCTAGGATTTTACCTGTACTTAGCTCCATTCCATTTTTTTTATCCTTAACTCTCCAGTCCTTAACGATTACAAGCATACCCATAACATGATGCAACCACCACTGCTTGAAAATATGGAGCGTGGTATTTAGTAATGTGTTGTATTGGATTTGCTCCAAACACTTTGTATTGAGAAGAAAAATGTATTGCTTTGACAAAAAATGTTTGTTACTTTAGTGCCTTGTTGCAAACAGGATGCATGTTTTGGAATATTTGTATTTTATACAGGCTTCCTCCTGTAACCAAAATATAGGTATCGGGTGTATGTGAATGGTTCTCTGCTTTTTTGCAGGTGAATTCATTAACACTTCAATTGGCTAACGCCTCCCTAATTTCAAATGCAAACAGCCCCCATGGTTTAATACCCCCCACCCTCCCAATTTGCCAGTTACCCACTGATATGTATAGAAGGGTTATACTTGCAAGAATGTGGAAAATAACGGGCTGTTTGAAAGGGGTTCATATAAACATTGCCCTATATATTTTTACTGGTAACATACCTTCTGTCATACTCACTAGTGATGTCTTAAATACTTCACTAGTCAACCTAAATACTAACTTGTTGTATTGCTTTGAGATTCGCTGATTGTTTTTCTTTTTAATTGACCTGATTTTGTCTGTCCTCACTTCTGCAGGTTCCAGACTACTTTGACATTATCAAAAAGCCCATTGCGCTGAGCACTATCAGAGAAAAGGTTAACAACTGTGAATATAAAACAGCCAGTAAGTTGAGCTTTTGTTTTTCCCTGTTAACTAAAACGTGTTTATGCTGTCATGTTTCTGTACTTCACCAGATGGGAAATTTGATTTGATCCATTTTCCTTTTTTTTTTTCACAGTGGAGTACGTTGACGACGTGGAGCTCATGTTCGCCAACTGTTTACAATACAACCCTCAGCACACAAATGAAGCTAAAGCAGGAACAAGGCTCCAAGCCTTCTTCAACTCAGAGATATCTAACCTGGGGCTGGCGGACCGGACCACTCCTCCACAGAAGCGGTCCCGGATGTAAAGCTGACTGACTGAAACTACTGGGTCATATTCATTAGTGCACACCGTTGCAAACTGTAGCAAAATGTTTTTTACCTTAATGTTTTTTGACAAAAACAAGTTTCTTATTGGACAAATTCAGGTAGTCCCTCCCTGTTTCACTTTTTTGTTTTCATCCATTTGTTTTCTAGTGAATACCACCATTCATTGGAAAGTCTGAACATTCCCAAAGCATTGGCAGTGTAATATAATTCCCTCAAGATAATGCAGGAACAACTAACTCGCTGTGAAAGTTTTTGCACTGAATATTTGAAAACTACTCCTTTCTATTCGTATTCACTCAGGGAAAACGAATTGTGGTTTGAAAAAACAATGTTTTTAACAGTGCATTTTTATATTTTGTATCTTGGCAGCATTTCTAGACAAATACAATTGTGCACATACTTTTCTTATTTGACTATTTCAGTTCAATTTAGATGACTTAAGTATTAACTTTGAATATGGACAGTTTTGCATTTGTGCATTTCACATTAGTGAACAGTAAAAACACATTTCGCATGGACTGTTTCAGGTTCCCATCTTTCAGTGAAACACTACACTGGAACCTGATTTATTGTTCCTTATTTCCTATAATTCATTGGTTATTTATTTTAGTTTTGAAGGTAAGAACTTTTATTTATATTTTTATAGAACATGTTTGTTTTGTTTTTGTAAAGAATTATTGGCATAGTTTTGAGTTCCAACTATAGAAAACTGTTTCCGGGTAGGGTTTAAATACTGAGCGTTGTCCCCCTAAATTTCTCACCTCTGCTTTTGTATTTGCTATCGTGTATATTTTCTATATGTAAAAAATAAATTCACCTGATTTTAATATTTCTTGGTCATCTCTCACTTTTGTTGCCAATCTGATCCATAAATATGAAGTGCATGAATGTATTAATGGCGTGTATGTTTTAGGATAATATTTTTTCTACACCTCACTGAGTTAAAATGGCCTCAATCTTTTGGTAGGGTTAGAGAAATAACTTGTAACTTTCCTGCCGGGAAGTTGGTTAGCCGGAGTTGAGTGTAGTAGTCCGCAAGTCAACCTAGCTTCATTGTCAACCGTGTCCAGGACAAATTCCTCTTATCCCTTCGAATCCCATTCCTGATCCCTCCCGCCGCAAGTGCAGTGACTCATACTCGCTCGCCCCTTACTCCGCCCCTCGCTCTCTCTCCCACACCCGGTCAGGTCGTTCATACCCATATCTCTTTACCCCAAAAGATTTCCCCACATAATAGCAAATCTCACGGGACCGACGATCGGACAACATGGTAAGATTCTTTACTTTTCTAGTTGAGTGCTGAAACTACTCTGGTAGTTTCTAGTTGAGTGCTGATTTTAACTTTTTGTAACTTTTGCAACATTGGGCTGTGTGTTCGACAGTAACATTGGCTTACTTGCTTTCGCACCCATGTTTGATTGCTGGTTACAGTTCGGCATTCGGCAGTGGTGAGCTATAGCTACAATGTTTGTTCAATATATATAAAAGTTATTTCGTTTGTAAAATCAATTCCAATTTAGGATCATTACAGGGCCTGCATTGTCAGGCGGCCATTTTAACCTAATTATAGCGCAGTCCGCTATCTAACGGTAAAGTTATTCACTCTACTACTGCCAGTTAACTTCATGATCTAAAAGTTTAGCGAAGTTGGCTTGCTAGCTAATAACATAGCTACGTGATAGCAATGACGTTTTCTACACGACAGGCTACCTAAAATGATTGGGACTAGCTAACTTGTAATGGTCTTGCCTGCATCCTGTTTTGTTTGATTGCACTCAAACCAATGCGCCCATGCGGATTTCCACGCTTGTTTGACCGTGGAAACTAGCTAGCATTTGCAGCTAATACTGTTCCCATAGCTACTGGTTTACTGCAATGGGCCTAGCCGACTAAACCCAACTCCACGATTTACAATGGAGTTGAGTGGCGACTAGTGTGGGCGCACTGGAGCTCCGAAGTCACACAATTATTTCAGGACCCAAAAGACTAGCCTGCAATTACATAACAATGTTGTGTGTAATTGCAGGCTTTGCGTGCTGAAATCAGTCGTTTTTGACAACGTCATTTTGTGACGTCCTAGGTCCAGTCAGCCCATACTGGTCGCAGCTCAACACCATAACTCGTGGAGTTGTTTAATCGGCTACCGTGGTACGTGACACATGCACATGTTGCTAGACATGCAAAAGTTTGCTGTCTCATTCACTGACGGTTACTAGTGTGGTGGTCACTAACTAGTCACAGGTCAGCGAGTTTCGTACACTTGATATATTGAGGGTGGCTAGCCAGCAGTCACCACTGTGTTGGAATGTCGTACTATTGACACGGCTTGGCTTTCTGGTCCGATTGTCATCTTTTAATAGAGAGAACACTTTGGCCAACTGACATAGCAGCCTATGTAGCCCAAATGCCGGCAGATGGCGATATTGATCCGTTATGATGGTTTCATCTTGCTGTCCAAACGTATGTAGTCGGCAATACACTCATATACCCCGTGGACCGGTTCGTACCTAAAACGTTCTCCATTCAGGCTACAAGGGCGTCGATTTCCTCCTTAACTACATTTAATATCGAGAAGGCGGTAAAAAAATTGGAAAATATGCGTACTTTATGAAACACCATTTCCACCACCATGCTAGTGGCTAATGCTACTTCCTGAGGTTGCCCTGCTTTCAGCCAGAGGTAAACAACGGACTGTTGCAAGCTGAATGCGGTTCGCAACATCCAGGACTAGTATTCCTAGGCGCATTAGCTACTTTAGCATTGTGGTGGAAAATGGTGTTTCATAAAGAAAGTACGCATATTTTCTGTTATTTAAAATCTAGTTCAGGAGGAAATCGACGCATTTGCAGCCTGAATGGAGAATGTTTTAGGTAAGAACCGGTCCAAGGGGGATATGAGTGTATTGCTGGCTGCATACAATGCTTTTGGAAGGTAAGATGAAACCATCAATATGCCACCTTCCGGCCTTTGGCCTGCAGCCTATGCAAAATGACTCTGCATGTGTGGTGGTAGATAGTGTCAGAGTGAAATAGTGTTGATTCATTGTAAGTGAGTGTCAAAGGAAAGAAAGGCTATGATCAATGCTGCAGTCATTTGTTATTCTGTCTGCATGACTACTGGTAACTAGCTACATACTGTATGTGTGAAGGTTTGTATTTCCAATACCTTGTTAAGGAAAGCATTTCCTATCTCCATGCTGTTAGCTATAGGCCTAGATTCAATGTCCACATCATAAATAAACAGGATGTCTTTGCAGTCTTTAATGTCAGCCATGTACCCTATGTTTACTAGCTATTGAACAGGTAACAACAATCTAGGCAGCTATGTCATCTGGTTCACACTGATTTCTAAATCACACCTTTAATGAACCTTGTGTATCATTCTCCCCTCTTTCCACAGGCCTCTGGTGTCACTGTAAACGATGAAGTCATCAAGGTCTTCAATGACATGAAGGTCAGGAAGTCATCCTCTACTGAAGATGTAAAAAAGCGTAAAAAGGCTGTGCTGTTTTGCCTCAGTGATGACAAGAAGAAGATCATCGTAGAGGAGGGCAAGTGGATCCTCGTTGGTGACATTGGGGAGTCGGTGGACGACCCATACGCCTGTTTCGTCAAGCTTTTACCTCTCAACGATTGCAGATATGGCTTATACGATGCCACATATGAAACAAAAGAATCCAAGAAAGAAGACCTGGTATTTATATTTTGGTACGTTTGTACGTTGTCCTTTGTTAGTTTGGATGGTGCAAAGCTACTGTCAAGAATGTTTCTTAAAAGCCTATATTCCCTAGCCTGGCTGGGGAGTCATTTGGTAGGTACCCTAGATCAGTGGCTGTGTTAACCACCGGTTCAATCTCTGGGATCTGACACTGAATTAGTCAATTATTATTAAGTGTTGTGTAGGAGGACCATAACTTGGTGGTCCCTGGTATAAAAAAGTTTGAGAAACACAAATGTTGCTGCTGCTTTCATTTGTGTGGTATGGATTACTATGGAATAAAGACGTTATTAGCTAGGCTTATTAAGTTGTTGTGTTTCCCTCCTTATTCTAGGGCACCTGAGGGTGCGCCCTTGAAAAGCAAGATGATCTATGCTAGCTCTAAAGATGCCATTAAAAAGAAGTTCACAGGTAAGTGAACATTGCTATATCAAATAACTATTCCTGTATGTTTGACCTGATATTGTATGATCGTGTGGTTCAGTAATTTATTCAGGTGATGTCAGAAAATTTGCATAGCCTAGTTTTTACTATCTTATCAAAACTATTAACTATTAATAACTACATAAGTTATTTTATTTTCCTATATATGTTCTATGAAAGTGTCATGAATGTCGTTGTTGGCGTTTCAAGTTATTCAATATACCATTTAATTTGTACCCCATAGATCCATAGAAAGTTTAGAGAAGAAAAGGTGTGGTATCAAACAAAATCCCCCTGCAATTATTGAAAGTGCCTCCTTAGTATTCAACACAACAGTATAAAACAGATGGGAATTAACTCTATATACACCCCTTTGTTTTTCAGGTATCAAACACGAATGGCAAGTCAACGGATTAGACGACATCCAGGACCGTGCCACCCTGGCAGACAAGTTGGGAGGCAACGTGGTGGTATCACTCGAAGGGTTACCATTGTAAATGGAAAATACTACATGCCATCTGGATTCCTGACGCTTTCATCTTAGCAGCTGTATCTATAGCATTTGAGCCTAAAGGAATTGCTTTAGGCTTTTTTTCTGTTTTTTTTTCTTCATACAATGGAAGGAGATCTCATTAACATATGCGAAAGACTACAAGTTATTTTGCCAGACGACTTCTTCAAAAAAAATCCTTGTTGTTTTTTGTTTTTTTAACCTTCAAGGAATGCTCACACATCACGTGTTTTTCCAAACAAATATGAACAGCAACGCCACACTACCTGAGATTAATAACACTCCCACAACAAAAACATTAAGATTAGCACTGTTTTTGCATTCTTTGCCACTTAAACAGTGACTAAATGCTCAGTAGCGTAGGAAAATGTGAATGCTTTCTATAATGCCTTGACAGTCATATTCACTGCCCCGGTTACAGCTAATAGCAAGTATTTTGCACTCATGAGGTTTTCATATGACTGACTTATTTATTTGAACTGTTCTATCTTATCCAATATGTTATTTGACATTGCAAAACACGTAATAGACTATGCATATACTAAGCACTTTGTTTATACACTACAGAAGTTGAGGCAAAAAGGTCAAGAATAACTAAAGAATATCTGTATTTATGTCAACTAGATAGAGATGTTACTAGTTTTCATTCCTTTTATGCAAATGGACAAGAACAGATTAGTATTTGACTGTTCAATTGCCGCCTTACTTTCATTTGAATGTACAGTACACCACAGTAAAAAGGAGGGTTGGTGCTTGCAGTTTTTTTTAACACTAAAAGTATCAAAAATATCAGTAAAGATGGCAATATGTGCATTTGGAACCTTAAGTGGAACATTGTTTTTGAGATGGGGCGAGGAGGTTGCCACTTTACAATAAAACCTTGTGGCAGATAACAGAATGAAGTGTATTCTGTTCTGGGTTGTCTGTCTGTATCTGTTCATCAGGAGGGCTGGGCAGCAATAAAGAGATGCATGACTGATTTTCTTTAACAGGAAATCGAAAAGATCTGGTCTACATGCTGTGTTTTGCTACATTGCCTTGGTTAGTGTTTTATTCAATTAAACCGGATGCAGTGAGTGACGATCTTCTTGGCTCTGTTCAGAACTGTACAATGTTACGGAACATTCGGATATAAATATATTGTTTAGAATAGATAGCATTCTCTGTCGTGTAGAATAGGGAATTTCAGTTCAATATTTTCTGTGTACGGTGGTTTCTCTGATGCTTTTCATATCTAATGTCTACAGTTTTATGAGGGAAGCCAAGCTAGTAAAAATCAAATTTTATTTGTCACATACACGTGTTTAGCAGATGTTATAGCGGGTGTAGCGAAATGCTTGTGCTTCTAGCTCCGACAGTGCAGTAATATCTAACAAGTAATATCTATCAATTTTACAACATATACACACAAAACTAGTAAGGAATGGAATTTAAGAATATATTCATATATGGACAAGCAATGACAGAGCGGCATGGACTAACATACAGTAGAATATTATAGAATACAGTATATACATATGAGATGAGTAGTGCAAGATATGTCAACATTATTAAAGTGACTAGTGTTCCATTTCTTAAAGTGGCCAGTGATTTCAATAGGCAGCAGCAGCAGCCTCTAATGTGCTAGTGATGGCTATTTAACAGTCTGATGGCCTTGAGATAGAAGCTATTTTTCATTTTCTCGGTCCCAGCTTTGATGCACCTGTACTGACCTCGCCTTCTGGATGATAGCGGGGTGAACAGGCAGTGGCTCGGGTGGTTGATGTCCTTGATGATCTTTTTGGCCTTCCTGTGACATCGGGTGCTGTAGGAGTACAGTAAATCATTAATGACCGATCATACTGTATGTCATGGTGAATTGGAGTACTGTCAACTGTAATTTGAACGTCTATAGATTAACTAATATTTGTAATTTATTTAATGTAGCGATCTTTCAACCTTAACACTAAGAGTACTGCAGCTTCCCGAAATTAATGTAGCCAGCTTTTCGTACGCTCTAAGGGCAGTTGTTCCCTGTCCCTTCATTTGAGCAGGGCAGAGTGTTTCTAGGAGAGAGAGCAGACTTGTGTGTCTTCTACTGCAACTGGGCTGGGGTCCAGGCCTGCTGCCTGCTCCCTGTGGAGAATTTGATCTGCAGGCAGTGAGCAATCCTCTGCTGGTCAGAGCTATTTATGGCCAACACATGCTTTTGTGCCTTGTCATCGTTGTCCACAAATGGCAAAACGGACAAGCTTCCAAAGAGCAATGAAAGGGAAGCCCTGTTAGAGGAGGAGAGCAGTAAGTTAGAGTACACATGCCCGCTGCACCCTACCAAGAATGCTTTTCCCACTCAAGGAACAGAATAGGAGAGGAATGGAAAAACACATTGAAAAAATCCTTGAAGTATTATAAGATGTTGTAAACCCCTGCTTATGGGAACTATCTAACTCAACAGATGGCCCATACCTGTGACAGCTGAGATATACTGTATGGTGTAGCTTGGTGTCACACCGAATACACTTAGAACCAGCTCTGAATGTAACTCTGCCTGGATTGACTAGAGTTACGGATATCCCAGACCCAGGGCAACAGCACTAGTTTTATACTAGCGTATGCTGGAACATTGTTTACATGCAATAAGACTAGATTGACTAGGCTACAAATCTGTGAGCGATGAGTAGTACCCAGTGATGTCCCCAGTGGTGTCTGGAACCTACTAGTCATGGTTATGAAACTGGTCTCCAGGCTCCTGCTGTGTAACTTCTCCCATATAGACAAGTCACACAAACATGTCCCTGGGTGTATTATCAGACAGGGTCAAGACAGGTTATTTAAAAAAAAAAAGTATAAAAAACGTTTATCTTTCAAATACTTCTACTATATGCTGCCAAAGTCTCAGTAAGCTCAGCGCATCATGTTCAGGCATCTAAATGTTATTGGTCTTCAGTGGTGGAAAAAGTACCCAATTGTCATACTTCAGTAAAAGTAAAGATACCTTAATAGAAAATGACTCAAGTAAAAGTGAAAGTCACCCAGTGAAATACTACTTGAGTAAGAGTTTGATTTTAAATATACTTAAGTATCGAAAGTAAATGTAATTGCAAAAATGCGTGAATTGGGCCATTTTCCTGTCCTGCTAAGCATTCAAGATGTAACAAGTACTTTTGGTTGTCAGGGAAAATGTATGGAGTAAAAAGTACATTATTTTCTTTAGGAATGTACAGGGAAAATGTATGGAGTAAAAAGTACATTATTTTCTTTAGGAATGTAGTGAAGTAGAAGTTGTCAAAAATATAAATAGTAAAGTACAGATACCCCAAAAAACCGACTTAAGTAGTACTTTACAGTAATTTTACTTAAGTAGTACTTTACACCACTGTTGGTCTTACGATGAACAGCAGCCTACTGTATTATATTCACAGTTAAGATTTTTTTTAATGTAACTGTTTTCCTGTTTTCCTCTCTCCCATGGCAAATGGTTTCCCACTGTATTGAATTCAGAATGTGGTCCCTTTATCAGACCACTTAACATAGACACCTACATCACAGGAGGTTGGTGGCACCTTAATTGGGGAGGACGGGCTCATGGTAATTGCTGGAGCGGAATTGGTGGAATGGTTTCAAATACATCAAACACATGGTTTGATGCCATTCCATTTGCGCTGTTCCAGCCATTATTCTAATCAAATCACATTTTATTGGTCACATACACATATTTAGCAGATGTTATTGCGGGTGTAGCGAAATGCTTGTGTTCTTAGCTCCAACAGTGCAGTAGTATCTAACAATTCACAACAATACACACAAATCTAAAAGTAAAAGAATGGAATTAAGAAATATATAAATATTAGGACGAACAATGTCGGAGTGGCATTGACTAAAATACAGTAGAATAGAATACATTATATACATATGAGATGAGTAAAGCAGTATGTAAACATTATTAAAGTGACTAGTGTTCCATTATTAAAGTGGCCAGTGATTCCAAGTCTATGTATATAGGACAGCAGCCTTTAAGGTGCAGGGTTGAGTAACCCGGGTGATAGCCGGCTAGTGATGGCTATTTAACAGTCTGATGGCCTTAAGATAGAAGCTGTTCTTCAGTCTGTTGCGCTGTTGCGCCTTCTTCACCACACTGTCCGTGTGGGTGGACCATTTCAGATTGTCAGTGCTGTGTAAGCAGAGGAATTTGAAGCTTTTGACCTTCTCCTCTGTGGTCCCGTCGATGTGGATAGGGGCGTGCTCCCTCTGCTGTTTCCTGAAGTCCCCGATCAGCTCCTTCGTTTAGTTGACGTTGAGGGAGAGATTATTTTCCTGGCACCAATCCGCCAGGGCCCTCATCTCCTCCCTGTAGGCTGTCTCGTCATTGTTGGTAATCAGGCCTACTACTGTTGTGTCATCTGCAAACTTGATGATTGAGTTGGAGGCGTGCGTGGCCACGCAGTCATGGGTGAACAGGGAGTACAGGAGGGGGCTGAGCACGCACCCTTGTGGGGCCCCTGTGTTTAGGATCAGCGAAGTGGAGGTGTTGTTTCCTACCTTCACCACCTGGGGGTGGCCCATCAGGATGTCCAGGACCCAGTTGCACAGGGCAGGGTTCAGACTCAGGGCCCTGAGCTTAATGATGAGCTTGGAGGGTACTATGGTGTTGAAGGCTGAGCTATAGTCAATGAACAGCATTCTTACATAGGTATGCCTCTTGTCCAGATGGGATAGGGCAGTGTGCAGTGCGATGCGATTGCATCGTTAGTGGATCTATTGGGGCGGTAAGCAAATTGAAGTGGGTCTAGGGTGTCAGGTAAGGTAGAGGTGATCCTTAACTAGCCTTCTCAAAGCACTTCATTATGACAGAAGTGAGTGCTATGGGGCGATAGTTATTAAGTTCCGTTACCTTTGCTTTCTTTCAGCATCCACTGAATAGGGCCATATACACATGTTAAACAAAGTGCTTGTCATTCATGTCAACTCAGAAAATGTGTCAGGACAAGTGAGCTGAAAATAAACAAGTGACCTCTCCTTGTTCTCAACAAAGATTATCCATGCCTACAGGATGAGCACAGCGAGCCAGCGCATGTAGGTTGTCATTCAGAATTATGATCATAGTCATATACATCATATATACTTAGTCACCTCCAAAAGTATTGGCATCCTTGATATAGATGAGCAAAAAAATGACTATCATATAAATAATACAAATATTGAGCTATTTTGTATGCTAAAAAAAAAGGGGGGGGGGGGGGGGGGAATTATATTATTTTATACTAATACATTTTCTCAGAGAAAGAGATTTTGTTTAAAAAGCAATATTTTGTTTTCTCAAAAAGATAGGCGTCAAAATGATTGCCACCCGTTTTTAATACTTTGTGCACCCTCATCTTGCTAGGATAATGTCACTAGGTATTGTTCTATGTTATGAGATTGGATCCCTCCCAATGTGTTCTCCAATCTCATAAAACATACGGAAGCAGGAAGCCATGGAAGGCCACAATACAGTTCATAAAGCTCAGGTGTACTTTAAAAAAGTAAAATGTTAATGCAGATTTTATTTTGTTTTATGTTTAACAATCTTAAGGGGTGCCAATATATTTGACACCTATTATTTTTAGATTTTTTTGTATTACTTGTTAAACAAAATCTCTCTCTGAGCAATTGTATTAGTGTAAAGTAATATAATTTCCCCCATTTGTTTTAGCATAAAATAAAGCTCAGTATTTGTATTATTTATTTTACACAGTCTTTTTTGCTCATCTTTATCAAGGGTGCCAATCATTTTGGAGGTGACTGTATTCAAACCTAAAAGTCAAACAAGAACATCAGCGATGTAATGATGAAAGAGCATACATACTACAGTATCTAGCTGTGTGGGTCAAACGGTAATGTATCGTTATGAAGCAACAAGGTGTTGTCACAGTTCTGCACCATGTCAAAACATATTTCTCAATTTATAAGGATTGCAAAATAGAACAACAACAAGCCATGTTGATGCTGTGATAAAGTTACACTCACGTCTAGAATTTAAGCGATTCATTACATTGTTTGTGCGTGTTTTGTATAATTGCATCAAATCACAGAAAGACACAATGCATGTTTTGTAGTTAATATAATGAATATTTAAGATATTACTTTCAAGGTAAGACTAAAAGATTTGCTGTAATTTATTACATGGTAATAACATGGCATCATACCAACACTCGCATACTGTTTATTATCACCGTGTGAGTTTTGTGCCATCTAGTGGTCGTTATAATATATACATGCCAAAGCTTTATGTATTTCAACAAATTGTAGTCAGCACACAGAACAAAGCTCATACCACAACGGTACCTCCAAGACGAGTTGTAGACAAGCCTCTGACCCCCTTTGCTTAAGACTGACCAGTATATATTTTTCATTCTGTTTCCCCCATTTCACACACATCTTATGCAATAACAAAGACAACAGAACTAATATAATTTGGGTCAGCTGTTCTGGACTGTCAGATTGTAGTTTATAACCATCACATTTCAAAGTACATATTCTGTGGGGTGGTAGAGAGTCAGATCAGTAGCCAGAAGATATTCTATTCTTACAAAACATATTAGGTTAATTGATTTTGATGTAGCTATGGTAGCTATGGCACACACATGTGCACACACACAAATGGATTAGGGCAAAAGTCATGAAATGCAAAGAATTATGGAAAGCCTTTTGCTGTTGATTCTGAATCAATTGGTTATTCAGATTCTAGATCACATGATCACTAACTCAGGGGGGTTAACCACTGAGGTATATGATTGAACCAAGGTCATACATTGGTGGTCTGTGCTGCAAATGCAAATCTAATCCCCAAAGGTCAAATAACTCACTTGGATCTATCCATAGAGCTGCCTAGTCAATGTTTAAACCTTTAGAAAAGTTTTGTGAATGTGGTGGATGAAATTGTAAGAGTGAACATATTTGTAAGGGCCTATTAGTAAAAATAAATAAAAACATGTATGCATTCACTAACTGTAAGTCGCTCTGGATAAGAGCGTCTGCTAAATGACTAAAATGTAATGTAAATGTACTCTTGGCCCCACTTGAAGGTTTGGATTGAAAGCTCCACGTTTTCAGATCCCACTGCGGCCTCGTCACGTGACGTCACACGACTTCCTCACTACTCTACCCGCAGCAGCCATGATGGTAGGTGTTATTCACAATTTACTCTAGCTAGCTAACCTTATTGTTTTATATGTGCAATCATCCGACACAGACACATTCATCAATAAACGATGATTTGCGCATCGAACGGTAATGTGGCTAATGCATGTTGTCTTGTGCCGCCGTCTTCTGTTTAACGTTACCTAGCAAGAAGGGCTGGACGATGGTCCCGATTTCCTCTCCGAGGAGGACAGAGGAGTAAGTTTTTTTCTTCTTAGATTAAAAATATATATATTTCTCTTATTTGTCTCTGGTCGTAACAGTTAGCTAGATTATATTTTTGTCTTATTCGTGCTCTGCAGTAATTACTTATTGCATGATCTGATCAGCTGTTAGACAGGTGACAACAGAAGTCACATTTGTTGAATAGCTAGCGTTAGCTAAGTTAGCTACATACAGTAGTCAGCTTGACCACATCAGAAGTCAGTTGACTTCCTAGCTGGCCAGCTAGCTGGCAACTGTTACAATCCATTAGGAGAGCTCCCTCTTGTTAACAATGAACTTACATAAGCTTATGTTAACTGCTCACTGTATTAATAAGAAGTCTATTGCCATTGCTAACTAGTAGCCCACCCATCTAACTATGCATATGTATTAGCTTTCTGCTATTGTTTTGCAGGCTAGTTTGCTAGCTAAGCAATCATTTGACAGAGCTAGCTAACTAGCCGTTAGATGTAATTGTTGTGTCCTGTTGGAGCATTAGCTATGTAGCTATAATGGCATTGAATGCTAGCGCATTTCATTCATTCATAATGCTGAGCAATATTGTGCTAGCTTGCTAGTATAATTGGATAACAACAACATTACTAACCCTAGTAAGCAAGGAAGACTGCTGTCAACGCTAGTTGAAAGTTTCACATACCTTTTCATTTGCATATTGGTATATCCCTCTCCTCCAAAAGGGGCAAAACAAACAGTAGTCTTGCTATATCTGTCATCTCTTTCTGTGGAATGTAGCCAGCTTGTGGGGAATGGTGATTTTGTCATTTGCTTGTCACTAAATACAATACTAAATTCAATATCTATTACAATATTTTACAGCCTAGGGCAGTCAATGTTGACCTCCAAACTGATGCAACACTTCAAGTGGACATTTCTGATGCATTAAGTGAGCGGGACAAGGTTAAGTTTACTGTCCATACTAAGGTAAGAGAGTTAAGCTATCTGTCAGTATTTCTTCCTGTTTGCCCTGACACTTGGCAAATAAAAGGGCAATAACACAGATAGAACAATGAGACAGATATTTCACCGGATGTATAAATGTGAAGCATCCGCTTGGCGTTTCCACTCACTGCCAAATATGGTAGTGAGAGGAAGCCCACTGGCTGGGTGTGGTAGAAGATGGAACGAGATGGATTTTGGAAGACATTCTGCACATTTTCTCATCTATGAAACAGTTGATCTCAATACAGTTTTCTGTTCCCAAAACTAGAATCTGTTATGAACAGAGTGGACTAAGTTTTAAAAAATTGTGTTGTTTAGAAGGAGTGCAAAGGCAAATGGAGTTCCTTGTAGTGGTCCTCTGTAGCTCAGCTGGTAGAGCACGGCGCTTGTAATGCCAAGGTAGTGGGTTCGATCCCCGGGACCACCCATACACAAACAATTTATGCACGCATGACTGTATGTCGCTTTGGATAAAAGCATCTGCTAAATGGCATATTATTATATTATGTCACACACTGTACAGAGTAGGCGTTCCTTAACGGAAATATGCAGATGCATGCTAGAATGCACCACTAGGATCTTGCTAGCTCGTGCTAGGCTCTGCCCACCTCCTTGCTTGATCTGCCCGCTATGACTCATTTGTTCCCATTAGAAACGACAGGCAGTGGTCTATCTTGGTTTAGTTATAAAAATCTTGGCAATAATGTACAGTGGGGAGAAAAAGTATTTGATACACTGCCAATTTTGCAGGTTTTCCTACTTACAAAGCATGTAGAGGTCTGTAATTTTTATCATAGGTACACTTCAACTGTGAGAGACGGAATCTAAAACAAAAATCCAGAAAATCACATTGTATGATTTTTAAGTAATTCATTTGCATTTTATTGCATGACATAAGTATTTGATCACCTACCAACCAGTAAGAATTCCGGCTCTCACAGACCTGTCAGTTTTTCTTTAAGAAGCCCTCCTGTTCTCCACTCATTACCTGTATTAACTGCACCTGTTTGAACTCGTTACCTGTATAAAAGACACCTGTCCACACACTCAATCAAACAGACTCCAACCTGTGGTCCTCTGTAGCTCAGCTGGTAGAGCACGGCACTTGTAACGCCAAGGTAGTGGGTTCGATCCCCGGGACCACCCATACACAAACAATTTATGCACGCATGACTGTATGTCGCTTTGGATAAAAGCATCTGCTAAATGGCATATTATTATATTATGTCACACACTGCACAGAGTAGGCGTTCCTTAACGGAAATATGCAGATGCATGCTAGAATGCACCACTAGGATCTTGCTAGCTCGTGCTAGGCTCTGCCCACCTCCTTGCTTGATCTGCCCGCTATGACTCATTTGTTCCCATTAGAAACGACAGGCAGTGGTCTATCTTGGTTTAGTTATAAAAATCTTGGCAATAATGTACAGTGGGGAGAAAAAGTATTTGATACACTGCCAATTTTGCAGGTTTTCCTACTTACAAAGCATGTAGAGGTCTGTATTTTTTATCATAGGTACACTTCAACTGTGAGAGACGGAATCTAAAACAAAAATCCAGAAAATCACATTGTATGATTTTTAAGTAATTAATTTGCATTTTATTGCATGACATAAGTATTTGATCACCTACCAACCAGTAAGAATTCCGGCTCTCACAGACCTGTCAGTTTTTCTTTAAGAAGCCCTCCTGTTCTCCACTCATTACCTGTATTAACTGCACCTGTTTGAACTCGTTACCTGTATAAAAGACACCTGTCCACACACTCAATCAAACAGACTCCAACCTGTGGTCCTCTGTAGCTCAGCTGGTAGAGCACGGCGCTTGTAACGCCAAGGTAGTGGGTTCGATCCCCGGGACCACCCATACACAAAAATGTATGCACGCATGACTGTAAGTCGCTTTGGATAAAAGCGTCTGCTAAATGGCATATTATTATTTATTATTATTCTCTCCACAATGGCCAAGACCAGAGAGCTCTGTAAGGACATCAGGGATAAAATTGTAGACCTGCACAAGGCTGGGATGGGCTACTGGACAATAGGCAAGCAGCTTGGTGAGAAGGCAACAACTGTTGGAGCAATTATTAGAAAATGGAAGAAGTTCAAGATGACGGTCAATCACCCTCGGTCTGGGGCTCCATGCAAGATCTCACCTCGTGGGGCATCAATGATCATGAGGAAGGTGAGGGATCAGCCCAGAACTACACGGCAGGACCTGGTCAATGACCTGAAGAGAGCTGGGACCACAGTCTAAAAGAAAACCATTAGTAACACACTACGCCGTCATGGATTAAAATCCTGCAGCGCACGCAAGGTCCGCCTGCTCAAGCCAGCGCATGTCCAGGCCCGTCTGAAGTTTTCCAATGACCATCTGGATGATCCAGAGGAGGAATGGGAGAAGATCATGTGGTCTGATGAGACAAAAATTTAGCTTTTTGGTCTAAACTCCACTCGCCGTGTTTGGAGGAAGAAGAAGGATGAGTACAACCCCAAGAACACCATCCCAACCGTGAAGCATGGAGGTGGAAACATCATTCTTTGGGGATGCTTTTCTGCAAAGGGGACAGGACGACTGCACCGTATTGAGGGGATGATGGATGGGGCGATGTATCGCGAGATCTTGGCCAACAACCTCCTTCCCTCAGTAAGAGCATTGAAGATAAGTCTTGGCTGAGTCTTCCAGCATGACAACGACCCGAAACACACAGCCAGGGCAACTAAGGAGTGGCTCCGTAAGAAGCATCTCAAAGTCCTGGAGTGGCCTAGCCAGTCTCCAGACCTGAACCCAATAGAAAATATTTGGAGGGAGCTGAAAGTCCGTATTGCCCAGCGACAGCCCCGAAACCTGAAGGATCTGGAGAAGGTCTGTATGGAGGAGTGGGCCAAAATCCCTGCTGCAGTGTGTGCAAACCTGGTCAAGACCTACAGAAAACGTATGATCTCTGTAATTGCAAACCAAGGTTTCTGTACCAAATATTAAGATCTGCTTTTCTGATGTATCAAATACTTATGTCATGCAATAAAATGCAAATTAATTACTTAAAAATCATACAATGTGATTTTCTGGATTTTTGTTTTAGATTCAGTCTCTCACAGTTTAAGTGTACCTATGATAAAAATTACAGACCTCTACATGCTTTGTAAGTAGGAAAACCTGCAAAATCGGCAGTGTATCAAATACTTATTCTCCCCACTGTACATGTCTGAATCGAGACTCATGTCACATGACTTGCAAATATGTTCCTCCCCAGCAGTTGTGTTATCGCCACATTCATATTGTCTTCTGAAACCTAGTGTGCATGTATGCAAAATATGCTTTGTTGAAGTCATGGAATGCAAATGAAGAAATTAAGCTCTGTGCATGATCGCATTTCACTCCACTTAATTTTCAATGCAGAGAGAATTCCAATAGTCATTACCTGTCACTGTCAGTGTAACCTCATAATGTCATGGGTTTATATGTTTTTACAGCAACTTTTATCATGTTGCAAGGACTCTTGTGAAGGAAGGAATTAAATCATGATTGAAAGGGGTTAACCGTTGCCTTGACACTTGAGATGATCATTCTGATCCAGATCAAGTCTGGTTTTCCATTTTTATTGAGCTGCAAATTCTAATTTGCAGATAGATATTTTTAGGAGACCCATGATATGCCATACATACTCTATTCGGCTATGATTTTCAGTAGAATTTGTCCCAACAGTGACCAATGTTCCCTCTAAGCTGCATCAAACACATTTTCAGTCACCTCCTTGTCTGAAGGACAAGTGGATGAACAGGTTAATGTCAAGCCCTGCATGTTTTTTTTTCAAAAGGCTCATGGAATGTAGGCATTGAAGACCACACATTGGCTGCTACTATAGGCTGAATGATAGAACAGCTATTTCCATGTTAAAATGTTATGGGATGCGTTTTCCCCATTGTTTTTGATGGTAGGCCACTCTGGTAGGCCTACATTATGATCAAATAGCCACAGTAGCCTACTTGGCCACTATTAAAACTGTAACTTAAAGCGGGTACAACCTCAGTGTTCACAGTAAACGCATGCTGGAAGTTGCACAGAATTTTCACAACGTTCAAGTTTGTGCTCAGCAGACCTGGAATTTGCTCAGTGCCGGAATTTGTTTTAGATGGAACATCATCAGTGACATCTGATTCCTATTGTTTTGTTTCCCAGAGCACTCTTCCTAACTTCAAGCAGAATGAGTTTTCAGTGGTGAGGCAGCATGAGGAGTTCATCTGGCTCCATGACTCTTTTGTGGAGAATGAGGAATATGCAGGCTACATTGTAAGTACTGAGCTCCATCAGAGATACTCTGTGTATGGGTCCCAAATGGCACCCTATAAAGTAGTGCACTATATAGGGAATAGGGTGCCATTTTGGGACTCAGCATGTTTTGGCTTTCAGGATAAGCTCATAAATTTAGTGTTTTGTAAAACAACTTAATTATTCATTGTCAATCCCCTTTCTTATTCAAACTCCCTGGTTCCATGTAGTAAGAACTTATTAGCAAGATGTTCAATTAAAAAAAACTACTGATTTAAAGTGTAATGGTGATTCCCCATAGATTCCCCCAGCCCCACCAAGACCTGACTTTGATGCCTCCAGAGAGAAGTTACAGAAACTAGGGGAAGGTGAAGGTTCCATGACCAAGGAAGAGTTCACCAAAATGAAACAGGAACTTGAAGCGTGAGTGATTTAGAGTTCATGGCGGGGTTCATTAGGGCACATTGTGTGAAGTTTCTTGTTGGACAAGTTCAGATAGTACCACACTGTTTTTGTGTTTTCTTCCGTTTCGTTCCTACTGAACACGACCGATGTTGCTCTGACATTGTTTTTGTGTTTCAGTACAGTGGTTTGGTTGGGATAATTTGCTAATAATAATGCTATTGGTAATATCTAGGCTATATCTGTGTGTTTCAGCGAATACTTGGCTATCTTCAAGAAGACTGTGGCGATGCATGAAGTGTTTCTTTGCCGTGTGGCTGCGCATCCTGTCTTGAGGAAAGACCTGAACTTCCATGTATTTTTAGAGTACAACCAAGATGTGAGTGTGGTTATAATGACCAAATTAGGATTTTGGTGACGATTGTTGCTGTGGACATGTTCTTAGACAAGCTCTCTCTCGTTTTATTGAACTTTAGATAACTGAAAAGTCGGATGTGCCTGAAAACATTAGAATATTCTGTTCCCTTACCTTGTCTTAGTTTTATCATTGTCAGTTTGTCCTTAACTGACATTTTGTCCTTATCATTTGTTCACAGCTGAGTGTACGAGGCAAAAACAAGAGGGAGAAGATGGAAGATTTCTTCAAGAATGTGGTGAAGTCTGCAGACGGTGTGTTAGTGGCAGGGGTGAAGGTGAGTTGGGTTCGCTTTTCTATGTAAACCATTCGTCCACTCTTTTCTATGTATAGGTCCCCTGTAGCTCAGTTGGTAGAGCATGGCGCTTGCAATGCCAGGGTTGTGGGTTCGATTCCCACGGGGGGCCAGTATGGAAGAAAAAAAAGTATGCACTCACTAACTGTAGGTCACTCTGGATAAGAGTGTCTGCTAAATGACTGAAATGTAAATGTATACCGTTCATCCACTCTTTTCTATGCAAATCCATTCAGCCAAGCAAATGGGTATTAAACTTGCTTTGAGTTTTATATTATAATGAAGGCACAACATAAGCATTTCACGACTTAAACATTGTTTGAAAAACATTGTTAGCATCATGAATGGTGCTCACATTTGTGTAAATGCATTTGTCAAATTAGTTTATTTTCTGATTTTTTTACTTCCGATTTTTATATAATTTATTTCTAACAGTTATTACTTGTATAAAGTTTGACGTGATTGTCTTTTGGATTTCAGGATGTAGATGATTTCTTTGAGCATGAGAAGACATTCCTTTTAGAATACCATAATCGTGTCAAAGATGCCTCCGCCAAATCTGATAGAATGATCAGGTCTCACAAAAGTAAGTCTCCTCTCTGTCTCAAAATCTCCACGTGCTAGGTAAGCTTTCTGCTATATACATGGATTTTAATCAGTTATTGAGAATGAGATTGATTTGAGTAATTCCAATGGAAAGTATTGCATTTTTTTCTGTGAACTGTGAGTGGGACTGAGTCACTTTGGTATCATGTTTTAATGTTTGTGGAAACCAGCCTGTCTGTTTGTCCTTGTGCTGTGCGTTGTATTTTACGTCTATTTTTTGTTTTATATTAATTCGCTGACAAATATGGAAATTGGTAAGTTGTATGTTTATTTGTAGTTGGGTCAGTCAGTCTTAAAGTGTTGGGGATGACAGCCGACTCAATTTGAAACTTGTCATGTTCCATTTGTTTTTAAAAAATGTATGAGGACAATATCTTGTAAATATCCTAACAGGTAAGAGCCATGAGCTTGTCTTTAGTCTCTTGAATGAAACGTTTGACTTCAGGCTTCAGGCTTCAGGATCCAAATTTCCCTCAAAAATAATATATAATATATAGTCGTCTGTCATTCCCATGGATCAGACTGTACATCTGTCATATCCTAAACTCCGGTAGGAACTATTATGTATTGTCATTTACTTCATTTCCACAACATTAAAACGTGATGCTATATTAGAAAAGTGAAAATGTCCAGCTGCAGATGTTATTTTCTAAAAATCTATGCTTGCATTTTGTTCGATGCATTTTGTACATGATTGACCGACCATCTGTGTGTATGAGTACGGGGGTTTAGGTGTTATTTGGAATGTCGTGATGTAATCTAAAGTTGTGTTCTTGTGTTGCAGGTGCTGCAGATGATATCAATAGAATTGCCTCCACACTGTACACTTTAGGAACCCAGGACTCCACAGATGTGTGCAAGTATGAAACTAAATTATTTGTCCTTTTCTCCCTATACATTGTTTGGTGCCAATAAGCTTTGATCCAACCGTAACTCAAATGCAACCCACTGTTTTCCAGATTTTTCTTGAAAGTCTCTGAACTGTTTGAGAAAACACGGGTACGTTCTTTTTTTGCCTGGTCTTTTGATTCTATGTATCACACAATTGTGTACTAGCAATGGCCGCTGAAGTCAATAACTAGCCCTATATTCACTACATGTCATGTAGCTTCATCTATCGGCTGCAATGCAGATTAGCATCAATGACAAAATGAGTTTTGTCTGAAGTTCACAAGTTTCTGTTGGTGTCCTTCCTCTACAGAAAATAGAGGCTCGAGTGGCTGCGGATGAGGACCTGAAACTTGCAGACTTACTGAAGTATTACCTCAGGGAGTCGCAAGCTGCTAAGGTACAATATCTAACTTGACCCTGCATTTTTTAAATCATCAAACAATTATGATCAGATACGCTGGTCAGTTATCAGAGGTAGTATTGGCGCATTTCCTGAAGAATAGTCTCTTCAACCTCCATCCGTTTGCATTTGTTTGCCTTAATGGATTTTTCATCAGACAGCATAGTGTTTAGATTATTATTAATGTGCTAAATGGAATCTGCTGTTTCTTTCTTCAGGATCTATTGTACAGACGAGGGAGGGCCCTGGTTGATTATGAGAACGCAAACAAAGCTCTGGACAGAGCCAGGGCAAAGAACAAAGATGTGCTTCAGGCAGAGACCAGCCAGCAGGTGTGCTGTCAGAAGTTTGAGAAAATCTCAGAGTCTGCAAAGCAAGGTACTTTATCCACTTGCATTTATAAATGTTTATACTTGTTTAAGAGTATTAACAATTCAAGACATTTCATACTTTTCCAAAAAGTATTCCTCCCTGTTAATTAAACAATAGTCCCAGATTTTGCATGTAAGAGAAGCTAAACCAGATTCAAATCAAATCAAATTTTATTGGCCACATGCGCCGAATACAACAGGTGCAGACATTACAGTGAAATGCTTACTTACAGCCCTTAACCAACAGTGCATTTATTTTTAATTTAAAAAAGTAAAATAAAACAACAACAAAAGAGTGTTGAGAAAAAAAGAGCAGAAGTAAAATAAAATAACAGTAGGGAGGCTATATATACAGGGGGGTACCGGTGCAGAGTCAATGTGCGGGGGCACCGGCTAGTTGAGGTAGTTGAAGTAATATGTACATGTGGGTAGATTTAAAGTGACTATGCATAAATAATTAACAGAGTAGCAGCAGCGTAAAAAGATGGGGTGGGGTGGCAGTGCAAATAGTCCGGGTAGCCATGATTAGCTGTTCAGGAGTCTTATGGCTTGGGGGTAGAAGCTGTTGAGAAGTCTTTTGGACCTAGACTTGGCACTCCGGTACCACTTGCCGTGCAGTAGCAGAGAGAACAGTCTATGACTAGGGTGTCTGGAGTCTTTGACAATTTTGAGGGCCTTCCTCTGACACCGCCTGGTATAGAGGTCCTGGATGGCAGGAAGCTTGGCCCCAGTGATGTACTGGGCCGTACGCACTACCCTCTGTAGTGCCTTGCAGTCGGAGGCCAAGCAGTTGCCATACCAGGCGGTGATGCAACCAGTCAGGATGCTCTCGATGGTGCAGCTGTATAATTTTTTGAGAATCTGAGGACCCATGCCAAATCTTTTCAGTCTCCTGAGGGGGAATAGGCTTTGTCGTGCCCTCTTCACGACTGTCTTGGTGTGTTTTGACCATGATAGTTTGTTGGTGATGTGGACACCAAGGAACTTGAAGCTCTCAACCTGTTCCACTACAGCCCCATGGATGAAGAGCAGTTAATCTGATAACTTTCTGTTTATTCCGGAATACAGAGCTCATAGACTTCAAGACAAGACGAGTAGCAGCCTTCAGAAAGAACTTGGTGGAACTTTCTGAACTGGAACTCAAACATGCTAAGGTAATTTTGCATTATACATGGCTGTCTATTAAGACATCCAAAACTGCTGCCTGTGCTTAGTAAAAGGCTGAACCTCTATCTCTCTGTTTCTCCACAGGGTAATTTACAATTATTGCAAAGCTGTCTCGGAGTCCTCAAAGGAGACACTTAGGTCTTTGCTTAAGGTTCACTGTACAGGGCTTTCCCCGCTTTGGCCTAATCTTCACTGAGAAGATGGAAGAGAGAGCATATCTGGGGTCAGTTTGTTTTCAGGATGCCTGTTCGTAGTCATCACTACTACCAGAGACACCAAACTCCCTTCACAACCCCACCTAAAAACGTGAGGAAGCCAGTGTGGAATACCTGCAAAATCCACACAGCACATTAACCTATAACTTTGTTTAATCACGTCAACTTTTTAATTGTTAACAATCATCGGTCTCCATGGGAATCTTCTCTCAATCTATATCATGTCATGTCTGTCCAGATGTGTTATTTGTTATTATTTTGCTTAGAGTAATCGTTGAGGCCAATAGTTTCAGTAAAACTTTTCTGTGATGCTGCTCAGTTACTTTGTTCAAGATGAGCTGATTGTTACTATTATTAAAGTGTATTGTCACTAAAAGCCTTGTAAATGTTGTATTAGTTCTTACTGTACTGCTAATGATCGTTTGTCTTCACTAATACTTTTGTTTTCAGTTATTTCATACAAATTCTGTTCTTTTTCATTCCAGACAAGTAATGCTTCAGTATGTTTGCCTTAATGTAGATTAATCCTATCAAGTATTGTAAAAAACAAAACAAAAAAAACATAAATGGATACGTTTGTTTTGTTTTCACCCAGATTTTTTAAAAGTGCACTGTATATGAATGTTTTTTTCACTCTGTGACCAAAGCTTCCATTTATTTAGATGGAGAAATGCTGAAACAAACGGTAATATGGATAATTATGATAAAAATGATGAAAATAGTAATAAATGATACTATTTACCTTAGAACCATTCTGAACATAATTTCATTCAATGTTTTGAGTAGGCTCTTTGTTGTCCATCTATCTAGTTGTAATCATTTTCATTTCTGTAGCTTTTATGACCCCGAGAAACATGGAATAAAAGCCAGGGGAAGCAATGGATAATGTCCTTCAATATATTAAACTCCATATCAACTGTTCATATTAAGGTTGAATAAAAAAAGATGGCCACTTTTTAAACCGCTTGTAATAGGTTTCTTTCACCCTGAAAATGTGGAGTGTATTGTGTAGATCAGTGGGGGGAGGAAATCAACATTTCATTAATAGAAGGGGGTGAATACTTACACAAGGCTCTGTATTTGAGCAATTCTCTTTTACTCTAGTCATTATGATATGCCATTTAGCAGACTTACAGTCATGCATGCATACATTTTTGTGTATGGGTGGTCCCAGGGATCAAACCCACTACCTTGGCGTTACAAGCGCTGTGCTCTACCAGCTGAGCTACAGAGGACCACTACAAGGAATACACTGACATTTAACTAATTAATTGAAAACTGTCCACTACTTCAAACAAGAATTTCATTTTCTACTGAAGTCTCTCACTATATCACACACCTTATATCTGTCTACTGAATTCATACTGAACTGAAAACAGCACTTATTGTATGTATCTCACACTAAAATCTACAGTTGCCTACTAATTTTGAATACTGGAACTTTTACTTTGAAAAGCGCAAACCGGACGTAATATGACCTCATATCAGGAAGTAAGCTACAAAATCCTGGCGTGCATCTAAAAAAGTGTTCTCTGTTTACCTTTAGCTACCGCTTAACCGTTTTCGTAAGTTTGTTAGAATTCTCAAAAGACCAAATGAACAGACACGTAGAGGATGATTCATATGAGATAGAGGAGCCAAGTGATGAAGAAAGAGCTGAAGACAGGTAATTATGGGTGTATGGTTTGGCGTTAGCATTTGGATAGCTAGCTAGCAGACTTAGGTAAACTGGTCGTTCAATGCAAGCATGGCCGCTAGTGATGCTATCTAGCTAGTAGGCTAACGTGTCAATGTTAAATGTTTGGTTATTGTGTTAACATATTATGTACCTTGATTTGCTTGAAGGCCCATAACATTCAAGATTACTTGGACAAATCTGTGATGCAGGGTTGGGGTCAATTCCATTTCAAAAATTGACTGAATTGAAATAATCGACCCCAGTCCTGCTATCAATAAGTACTTTATTGTAGGGGCGCAAAAGTTGTGTGTTGTTCAAACAGGATCTGACCAATTAAAACTGTACATCATCAAGAACCTCCTATGTTGTTGCTGTATTTCCAGCTCTGAGGATGAGCTGGAAGTGCTCTTGAACGGGACCCCAGATCAGAAGAAGAAACTCATCCGAGAATACCTCACTGGGGAGAGTGAGTCCTCCAGTGGGGATGAGTTTGAGAAAGAGATGGAGGCAGAGCTCAGCACCACCATTAAAACTATGGAGTGCAAATGGGTGCCACCTACAGCATCAGCAGGTGGAATTTCCTTCTAGCATCATTGTGTGTCTTTTTTTGTGTGGGATACCTGTCCAATTAGTAGGCCTATGCACAGTGTTCTGTTATGAATAGGGATAACACTTCAGCTGCATTTACTGAATTTGTTGGCCATTTTATCTTAATTACCGCTGTACTCATATTATCACTGTACTCATAAGTGTCCATCTGTCCATCCCAGGGGAGACTTCAGGTACCAATGATAATGCTTCAACACCTGGGTTACCACAGCCAGAGCTTTATGACAACGTTTATTTTGACTCCGATTCAGACGAGGAGGAAACAGCTCCAAGTAAGTGTGTAGCTCGGATTCATTGGTAAACCAAACTCTGAGACACCGAGGGACGGTTTCCTGGACACAGATTAAGCCTAGCCCTGGACTAAAAAGCTATTTCAATTGAGATTCTCCATCGAGCATGTTTAAGTTCAGGACAGAGTCTTATTGTGTTGTACAGATGCTGCAAAAGAAAAACATAATCGTTTGATCCTCTTCTGCAGGTAGTTCGTCAGGTCAGAGACGCAGGAAACAGCGATCCATCCCCACCAATGATGAACTACTGTACGACCCTGATGAGGATGACCGGGATCAGGCATGGGTGGACGCCAAGAGGAAGAGGTAAGCAATGTATCCATAATACAAAATGTTCCAAAAGTGTTTTGGTGTGTAAGAGGTACCGGTATATCAAGTCTGACACCAACAGGCTCTTGAACAGCTTCTATCCCCAAGCAATACGACTGGTAAATAGCTAACAGAATAGCTACACAGACGGAGTTTACTTTGTATCTTTATTGACCTTTTATTTCAGTATTTGCACTGTCTCTATGCACACTCACAGGGCCATACACACTCACACACACTGTCACTCCAACACACGCACACGTGTCACTCCATCATTTGCTCACGCTCACATAATATGCACATACATTTATACTGACTCTGCACACCCACTCACATGCAAGCTGCTGCTACTCTATATCTTATATCCTGTTGCCTAGTCACCTTACTCCTATACATATTTACCTCCATCACTCCAGTATCCCTGCACATGTATGATATTGGAACTGACTATTTATATTTCCTGTATATAGTATGCTTACTTACTTTATTGTGTATTTCTTGTTTAGTTTTTTCTAGTAATACATCTTTATTGATTATTGCATTGTTGGGCTTTGAGTTTGCAAGAAAGGTATTTCACTGTACTTGTGCATGTGACATTAAAACTTGGAGGGGAAGAAATTGCCAGGTGAAAGTTGAAAGAAAATCTAAATATTTAGGGTCGGTTTCCCGAACCCAGATTAGTAAAGCATGCTTGGTGGAGAATCTCATTTGAAAGTGCTTTTTAGTCAAGAGTAGGGTTGGTTTTGGTCACAGATGTCAATTATGTTCCCCTATTTGATCAGGTACAATGAAAAGAGAAGATTGCCATCATCACGGAACAGAAGAGGGCAGTCCCAGGGGCTTCCAAGCAGCGATGCTGTCCTTAACTGTCCAGCATGCATGATCACGCTGTGCCTCGACTGCCAAAGGTAGGAAATGAAGACTTGTAGATTAATTTGGCTGTGAATATTGTCTTTAAATGAAAAAAATTGAAGAAAACCAATTGTCTGAGTTTTTTTGTCCACAGGCATGACAAATACAGGACTCAATACAGAGCCATGTTTGTCATGAACTGCACCGTAAACAAAGAGGAGATTTTACGGTACAAAACGCTCAATGAGAAAAATCTGAGGAACAGAAAGAGGAGGAAAGGGTGTCAACCAGAGCCAACAACAGCAATGGAAGCCACAGATTCAGGAGCGGTGTTGGGGATGGGCGGAGAGATCTACCATCCTGTCCAGTGTACAGAGTGCTCCACTGAGGTGGCAGTGCTCGATAAGGACGAGGTCTACCACTTTTTTAACATCCTCGCCAGCCACTGCTAAAATTACACTGTTGCTGTGACCTTTGTGATATCTCTGATAAGACTTCTGTTGCCTGAATGCACATGCCAACATATTTTTGTGGTATAAGACAGGTGTGTATTATCATGTACAGTACCTGTACAGCCACTGTCCTCCAACATTATATTAAGTTTACCCCTATGGTATTTGTATTTTTCTTGGTATTTATATATTTTTTGTGTGCAACAAATCTACTTATTTTGTTTTTCTGAAGTTGGACCTGGCTACCACAGATATTTAGTCATTAGTACATATTAAAAACATTAACATTTTATTTTGATGTTATTATTTGTATGATTGTTGGGTGTCATTCCAAAATCAGCATTAATCAGGTAGCTGAACTCTCTTACAGAACTTTCCTCTGATTTTATTACTAGAAGAAGAAAAACATGAGTTTATTGCAATGAGAAAAAAATGTAAAGGGAATATTTAAACCCAATGTCATTGAATCATGTAAACTAGATGTTAGTTGTATCATATGATTTGGTATAAAGAGATTTGGTTAAGATTTATCTTAAGTTTTATCCCGAAAGCAAGGAGGGACCAATTAGGAAGGGGCCACCGCATGGTGACATTACTGCCCCTCAGTGGGCTTAAAGTAGCACCGAAGATTGTACTTTCCATCTCCCTGTCTTTGGTAGCAGTGTATTTTGTAGAATAGGCTTTTAAGGAGACAGGAAGTGGGAACTCCCCTTTGCGCGTCGTTTTTCATGGGATTCGTGATTGGTTGACAAAGACAACCGTGTGATTAAACGTCATTACAAGGAAATAATCGGAGATCACAAAGAAGAGAGAATACAACGTAAAGTTATGGCGTTTGAAGATGTCTGGAAGAAAATCTCCTGGTTGTATTACCAGTATATTCTCGTCACAGCTTTATACATGTTGGAACCTTGGGAGAGAGCAATCTTCAGTATCCTTTTTGGGTCGAGAATGGTTCGAAAATAACTAGGCTACTTGGGTAGCTTAGCCGGATAGGTAACTACAACACCTTGCCTAACTTAGTCGACTAAACTCAACGTTTTACGATGTAGTTGGGCAGCGACTAGTATGGTAAATCGTTGAATTTAGTCGGCTCCACCTTGCCCTATAATTTCGAGTCGTTACCAAGTAATGAACAATTACTGCAGATGGACAACCGTAATAGTCCGCCATAGGACACAGTGTAGTGAAATGTCAAATTTTTACAGCCAGGTAGGGCCTTGTCTCACCTGTAAAAATGCGTATTTGCGCAACTCTCGTGTAAATGTAGAACTCTGGTCGCCATCTGTATTTCAAAGATTCATTCCATTAGCTTTATCTGGCATAAGAAGTGTGTGCAGACCAAAGATTCTTTATAACTAACCCAAGATAGACCGCAGCTTGTCGTTTCGGGAACAAATGAATCATAGTGGGCAGAGCTAAGCACGAGCTAGCGAAAGCTTATTGGCGCGTTCTAGCATGTATTTGCATATCTTTGTTAGGGAACGCCTACTCTGAAGTGCGCGTGTGCAATAACTCAATTCGCCCTTGCACTTCTAAACAACGCAATTTTTTAGGAACTTTGGCAAAGGGTAAAGTCTACAAAACGTAGTCCACAATGTTCGTAACAGATTGTAGTTTTGGAAACAGAAAACTATTGAGATCAAATGTTTCATCGAGGAGAAAATGTGCAGAAAGTCGGCCAAAATCCATCTCGCTCCATCTTCTCCAACTGCCGGCCAGTGGGCTTCCTCTCATCACCATATTTGGTTGTGAGTGGAAACGCCAACCGGATGCTTCACATTTATACATCCCGTGAAATATCTATCTCATTGTTCTATCTGTGTGTAGACTGATAGTTAGATAAAGTAAGTTTAGAAACTGGTTAAAAAAATAAATAAAGGCAAGATAGGCCTATCCAAAAATGTGTCATCACACTAGTAAATGATCACAAGACTGAAGAATTATACAGTAGCCTGCCAGTCACAAAAGGGGCGCCTCCTTGTAATGCGCTGACATTTGAGTACTCCCGTGCCACATGAAAATTGGAACGAGCTGTAGCCGTGGGGGCAGTGTTATGTAGGCCAATGAAGCTTGCTTGGTTCCTTGATCAGATCTATAGGACATGCATCAAAGTACCCTATTTTGCATCGACAAGCAAATATAATCTAAGCGACGGTTCAAACAATAAACCAAACAACATTGGAGCCTTATTAGAATCCCCCCAAAATGTTTTGGGTTTAAAAGTAATAAATAGTGATTACAGGCGATTGTGAAATGGTAGAACCTAATTAGCTAGCCATGTGCTTTTTTTCTCCATGACCAAAACATGACTTTCTATTTTTAGCTGATATAGTATAGGAATGAATACACACGCAGCATATCAAACTGAGATAATGTTTTAGGTTACACTGGCAAGTATAAGAATATTTGCCAGGCGTATTTTGAAAATTATACAGTGCCCTGCAAAAGTAGTCATCCCCCTGGCGTTTTTCCTATTTTGTTGCATTCAAACCTGTAATTTAAATGGATTTTTATTTGGATTTCATGTAATGGACATACACAAAATAGTCCAAATTGATGAAGTGAAATTAAAGAAATAACTTGTTAAAAAATAAATAACGGAAAAGTGGTGCGTGCATATGTATTCACCCCCTTTGCGATGAAGCCCCTAAATAAGATCTGGTGCAACCAATTACCTTCAGAAGTCACATAATTAGTTTTTAAAAAGTCCACCTGTGTGCAATCTAAGTGTCACATGATCTGTCACATGATCTCAGTATATATACACCTGTTCTGAAAGGCCCCAGAGTCTGCAACACCACTAAGCAAGGGGCACCACCAAGCAAGCGGCACCATGAAGACCAAGGAGCTCTCCGAACAGGTCAGGGACAAAGTTGTGGAGAATACAGATCAGGGTTGGGTTATAAAAAAATATCCGAAACTTTGAACATCCCACAGAGCACCATTAAATCCATAATTAAAAATGGAAAGAATATGGCACCACAACAAACCTGCCAAGAGAGGGCCGCCCACCAAAACTCAAGGACCAGGCAAGGAGGGCATTAATCAGAGAGGCAACAAAGAGACCAAAGATAACCCTGAAGGAGCTGCAAAGCTCCAGAGCGGAGATTGGAGTATCTGTCCATAGGACCACTTTAAGCCGTACACTCCACAGAGCTGGTCTTTACGGAATAGTGGCCAGAAAAAAAAACAATTTCTTAAAGAAAAAAATAAGCAAACACGTTTGGTGCGCGCCAAAAGGCATGTGGGAGACTCCCCAAACATATGGAAGAAGGTACTCTGGTCAGATGAGACTAAAATTGAGCTTTTTGGCTTCAAGGAAAACGCTATGTCTGGCACAAACCCAACACCTCTCATCACCCCAAGAACACCATCCCCACAGTGAAGCATGGTGATGGCAGCATCATGCTGTGGGGATGTTTTTCATCGGCAGGGACTGGGAAACTGGTCAGAATTGAAGGAATGATGGATGGCGCTAAATACAGGGAAATTCTTGAGGGAAACCTGTTTCAGTCTTCCAGAGACTTGAGACAGGGACGGAGGTTCACCTTCCAGCAGGACAAGGACCCTAAGCATACTGCTAAAGCAACATTCACGTGGTTTATGGGAAAACATTTAAATGTATTGGAATGGCCTAGTCAAAGACCAGACCTCAATCCAATTGAGAATCTGTGGTATGACTTAAAGATTGCTGTACACCAGCGGAACCCATCCAACTTGAAGGAGCTGGAGCAGTTTTGCCTTGAAGAATGGGCAAAAATCCCAGTGGCTAGATGTGCCAAGCTTATAGAGACATACCCCAAGAGACTTGCAGCTGTAATTGCTGCAAAAGGTGGCTCTACAAAGTATTGACTTTGGGGGGGGTGAATAGTAATGCACGCTCAAGTTATCTGTTTTTTTGTCTTATTTCTTGTTTGTTTCACAAGAAAAAAATATTTAGCATCTTCAAAGTGGTAGTCATGTTGTGTAAATCAAATGATACAAACCCCCAAAAAAAACAATTTTATGTCCAGGTTGTAAGGCAACAAAATAGGAAAAATGCCAAGGGGGGGTGAATACTTTCGCAAGCCACTGTAAATCTGATAATTTCACATGGAGATGTGGGAAGCTAAAAAGAATAGCTAGCTTGCTAGCTATGTTTTTAGCCAGGCTGCCAGCTAGCTACTACTTGCAAGGGAAGGATACTCTTCCTTGTTTTCACAAAATGAAAAGACAAAAATGAAATACTTTGCTATCGCCCCCTTGGGAGTGGGACCGGCGAGGATATCATGTTACCAAAAGGTGTCCACTACTCCAAAAATCCAACTCCACCCATTTGCATGCACACACATAGATCAAAGGAGGGGAGCTTGTAGTAACCTTATGTCGGCCTTCCTCATCTGCAGTGGAAGGTGACCGAGCTACATCAGTGTTTGACAGACCATGAGACATCCCAAAAATCGGTCTTCTCATGAAAATGTTGGTTTGGCCTACAAACTATTATGACCACTCTATAGAAAGGGGAGACTCTCCATTTTGCTCTACGACCCGTCTGAAGGTAACCCATACAAACAAATGGAGGTAGTTTTATTTCAACAAAAATAAGGGTAAATGTGTCCTACATTTTAATATATATATATATATATATATATATATATATATATATATATATATATATATATATATATATATATACACACACACACACAGTTGAAGTCGGATGTTTACATACACCTTAGCCAAATACATTTAAACTCAGTTTTTCACAATTCCTGACATTTAATCCAAGTAAAAATTCCCTGTTTTAGGTCAGTTAGGATCACCACTTTATTTTAAGAATGTGAAATGTCCGAATAATAGTAGAGAGAATGATTTCTTTCAGCTTTAATTTCTTTCATCACATTCCCAGTGGGTCAGAAGTTTACATAGACTCAATTAGTATTTGGTAGCATTGCCTTTAAATTGTTTAACTTGGGTCAAACGTTTCGGGTAGCCTTCCACAAGCTTCCCACAATAAATTGGGTGAATTTTGGCCCATTCCTCCTGACAGAGCTGGTGTGACTGAGTAAGGTTTGTAGGTCTACTTGTTCGCACACGCCTTTTCCGTTCTGCCCACACATTTTCTATAGGATTGAGGTCAGGGCTTTGTGATGGCCACTCCAATACCTTGACTTTGTTGTCCTTAAGCCATTTTGCCAACTTTGGAAGTATGCTTGGGGTCATTGTCCTTTTGGAAGACCCATTTTCGACCAAGCTTTAACTTCCTGACTGATGTCTTGAGATGTTGCTTCAATATATCCACATAATTTTCCTTCCTCATGATGCCATCTATTTTGTGAAGTGCACCAGTCCCTCCTGCAGCAAAGCACCCCCACAGCATGATGCTGCCACCCCCGTGCTTCATGGTTGGGATGGTGTTCTTCGGCTTGCAAGCATTCCCATTTTTCCTCCAAACATAACGATGGTCATTATGGCCAAACAGTTCTATTTTTGTTTCATCAGACCAGAGGAAATTTCTCCAAAAAGTACGATCTTTGTCCCCATGTGCAGTTGCAAACCGTAGTCTGGCTTTTTTATGGCGGTTTTGGAGCAGTGGCTTCTTCCTTTCTGAGCGGCTTTTCAGGTTATGTCGATATAGGACTCGTTTTACTGTGGATATAGATACTTTTGTACCTGTTTCCTCCAGCATCTTCACAAGGTCCTTTGCTGTTGTTCTGGGATTGATTTGCACATTTCGCACCAAAGTACATTCATCTCTAGGAGACAGAATGCGTCTCCTTCCTGAGCAGTATGACAGCTGCGTGGTTCCATGGTGTTTATACTTGCGTACTATTGTTTGTACAGATGAACGTGGTACCGTCAGGCGTTTGGAAATTGCTCCGAAGGATGAACCAGACTTGTGGAGGTATACAATTCTTTTTCTGAGGTCTTGGCTGATTTCTTTTGATTTTTCCATGATGTCAAGCAAAGAGGCACTGAGTTTGAAGGTAGGCCTTGAAATACATCCACAGGTTCATCTCCAATGATGTCAATTAGCCTATCAGAAGCTTCTAAAGCCATGACATCATTTTCTGTAATTTTCCAAGCTGTTTAAAGGCACAGTCAACTTAGTGTATGTAAACTTCTGACCCACTGGAATTGTGATACAGTGAATTAAAAGTGAAATAATCTGTCTGTAAACAATTGTTGGAAAAATTACTTGTGTCATGCACAAAGTAGATGTCCTAACCGACTTGCCAAAACTATAGTTTGTTAAGAAGAAATGTGTGGAGTGGTTGAAAAACTGAGCAAGAGTACAAATACATTTAGAGTGTCTAGTTTGAGAAACAGACGCCTCAGGTCCTCAACTGGCAGCTTCATGAAATAGTACCCGCAAAACACCAGTCTCAACGTCAACAGTGAAGAGGCGACTCCAGGATGCTGACCTTCTAGGCAGAGTCGCCTCTTCACTGTTGACGTTGAGACTGGTGTTTTGCGGGTACTATTTAATGAAGCTGCCAGTTGAGGACCTGTGAGGCGCCTGTTTCTCAAACTAGACACTCTAATGTATTTGTCCTCTTGCTCAGTTGTGCACCGGGGCCTCCCACTCCTCTTTCTATTCTGGTTAGAGCCAGTTTGCGCTGTTCTGTGAAGGGAGTAGTACACAGTGTTGTACGAGATCTTCAGTTTATTGGCAATTTCTCGCATGGAATAGCCTTCATTTCTCAGAACAAGAATAGACTGACAAGTTTCAGAAGAAAGTTATTTGTTTCTGGCCATTTTGAGCCTGTAATCGAACCCACAATTGCTGATGCTCCAGATACTCAACTAGTCTCAAGAAGGCCAGTTATATTGCTTCTTTAATCAGCACAACAGTTTTCAGTGGTGCTAACATAATTGCAAAAGGGTTTTCTAATGATCAATTAGCCTTTTAAAATGATAAACTTGGATTAGCAAACACAACGTGCCATTGGAACACAGGACTGATGGTTGCTGATAATGGGCCTCTGTACGCCTATGTAGATATTCCATTAAAATCATCAGTTTCCAGCTACAATAGCCATTTACAACATTAACAATGTCTACACTGTATTTCTGATCAATTTGATGTTATTTTAATGGACAAAAAATGTGTATATATATACACTACCGTTCAAAAGTTTGGGGTCACTTAGAAATGAGTGTGCAAAGCTGTCATCAAGGCAAAGGGTGGCTATTTAAAGAATCTCAAATATAAAATATATTTTGATTTGTTTAACACTTTTTTTGGTTACTACATGATTCCATATGTGTTATTTCATAGTTTTGATGTCTTCACTATTATTCTACAATGTAGAAAATAGTGAAAATAAAGTAAAACCCTTGAATGAGTAGGTGTGTCCAAACTTTTGACTGGTAGTGTGTGTATATATGTATATATATATATATATATATATATATATATATATATATTATTTAAAGGGGTCCTAAAATTCAAAATCAAATAGCTAAATGATCCATGGTATAACCATCTTAAAACAATTTTGTATGTTAGCTTAGTACTTTTAGAGGTTAAATCCACTTAAATCAGTGTAGATGAAGGGGTGGAGACGGGTTAAAGAAGGATTTTTAAGCCTTGAGACATGGATTGTGTATGTGTACCATTCAGAGGGTGAATGGGCAGGACAAAAGTGCCTTTGAACGGGGTATGGTACACCAGTTTGAGTGCATCAAGAACTGCAACGCTGCTGGGTTCACTCTCAACAGTTTCCTGTGTGTATCAAGAGTAGTCCACCACCCAAAGGACATCCAGCCCACTTGACACAACTGTAGGACTGATTGGAGTCAACATTGACCAGCATCCCTGTGGAACGCTTTCGACACCTTGTAGAGTCCATGCCCCAACGAATTGAGGCTGTTCTGAGGGCAGAAGGGGATGCAACTCAATATTAGGAAGGTGTACCGTATTTAGCTTGCTGTGTTTTACTGTAGGCCTAGGTTGCGTTTCAAACACATAGAAGACACACCCTCCTCCACTTACCCTCGCCTTATGCCCTTGGGGGAATCCCCGCGGCAGTCTTTGTCGTCAGTCCGAATGATTAGCCAAGCAAGGGAAGTTGGCAACGTAAGCCCAAGTCAACATACAAGTGTAAGTAAAAACGAATGTAAATAAGTTAGAAATGGTGCTACTAATGCACATGACGGCTCAAACACATATGATAAAAGTAATGATTTTTTTGTTTGGTTAGCTTTTGGAAACGTTAGCTTGCACATACAACTTTCCCTGACATTGCTAACATTCGATATCTGCGAATGTGTTGTCTTCTAGCCAAGATATGAAATGCAATCATAATTGACTGTAGTGCGCATAATGCACACAACAGCTACCGGTGGTTCCATGATGACTGAAAACACAACCGTGGGACAAACGAGTGACACATTTCCGGGCAAGGGTGGTCCATTTAAAATGTATTCATTCTTCCCTTGCCCTGCAAGTGTCTACTCGTCAGACGTCATGATACGTCATCAGAAGGTCCACTTAATTTGAGGGCTGAGGGGAGAGGGTGTATCTTTTAAGTGTTTGGAATGCAGCCCTAGTCAATAATAGTTATAAGTATTGGTACATTTCCTTAACCTCTCTCTCAGACTCCATCCTGGTATCTGTAGCAGGGATGGCTGTGTACACTGGCTACGTGTTCATGCCTCAGCACATCATGGCCATACTACACTACTTTGAGATGGTTCAGTGACACAAATTTACCCACGCCTGGATGTGCCTGTGACTGCTGTCACCATGGAATTAGAATGAATTCTCATTTTAATTTTATGGCTGTCACCTGGACCTAGAGGACAGACGGGGGGAGAGAGAGAGAAAGAGGATCTCATTCCATTCCCTGGAACTATTTTTTATCTGTGCTCATCATCATGGAAACATCAACAGTGTTGTTGGACAAGGTGGGGGGTGGAGGAGTACAGAGAGGAGTGCAGCGGCACGTCTGATGTTCTAGGACATTAAACCATTGTTGCCTTACTGAGTTGCTTTGCAGTTTGCACAGATATCCTTGTTATTATTCACTGTACCTTTTTATAAATCGCCTTTTATTACATTCTAAATCCCTCCTGCAATTGTGATTATTATTTTTATTTTTTTTCTCTCCCCCGTATGGCATATTTTCTCTCTTATGCGTATATACGATTTTATGAGATTTATATACATATCTGTAACATTTTCTATTTCAAATGTTGGTTAGCAAAAATGTTATATTTGTTATGAAACTAACTGAGCAGTCTCAGGCTGGAAAGCCATGTTTTGGGGGCATTGCGGAAGCTAACTGTGATATCTTTCCTTTAATATATGTAAGAAAAATTAACAAATGTCTGTATTCTGAGTCCTGAATCCAAAATAACACAACAACAGCTCCCAGTGTGGCAGCCCCCCCCCCCCCCCCCCCCCTCACCTCTCCAAAACGTGTGTGTGTCTTTTGGAGGGGATGGGTTAAAAGCAGAAGTCCCATTTCAGTTGGTCCATGTGTGCAATTGACCAATAAACTGATCTTAATCTTAAATTGACATAGTGTAAGTCAATATATTATTAAAATAAAGATTTAGCGTTGTCACAAATGTCTTAGCTGGTTTGTGCGAAATATAATTTATAATGAATGATGTGAAGGCAATGACATAACTGTATTTACATTATTTCCTCATATGCCTAGTTTGCCACTCAGTCGTCAATCAAGAGGTCAGTGGGAGTGGCTATAATAAGGAATAACCAATGGCCAAATTCAACACACTGGCACCGGCTCGAAATGAAAATAGCAGCTGGTTACTTTTTAAGCTTGGGGGTGATGATGTTCTCACGTACACACTCTGCACGTTGCCTGGAGTTTGTACTGCTCCTCTCAGGTCTAGTGTAAATAAAGTGCTCAGCCCGCCAGCGTTGCAATTAGAACTAAGCTCCCTGTGACCTGAAGCAGCAGTTCAGCTGTTGGTGAGGGAGGGAGGCTGGTGGAAAACAAAACCTGTTCACCCTTCACATCACTCTCTTGGGTCGTGTTAGGTCGTGTTCTGTATAGGGAGAAAAGCATTTAGAAACCGAGGCACTGCCTGAATTTGTACAATAAGAACACAGCTTTCTGTGTTCTGTTGCAAAACGTTTTGCTACGGTGTGCCCTACTGAGCACGACCCTGTTCAGTTCCCTCTCAGCAGAATCCATCCTGACTTGCTTTCAACTTTCAATTCCTGGCCAGAGCCTTCAAGTGTGAATGTATCCTTTAAGGTTATGCTCAGACTTTCTTAGACATGTAGGCTACAGTAGGCTTACCAAGCCATGCATGGATATGTACACAATATTATTATAAGTGCCCAAATGTCCTATGCTCCATTCATTCTGTTATCAATTATCTGTTGAATGTTTCCTCCACTTTTTTATGCTTTTTTATGACTGTTTATCATATGAAACCTGAGAGACAAACTAAGACCTAAATCTATATTCCTTGCAGAGGCCTACAATGGAGACAACTAAAGTTAATATATCTTTAGAAAATATTTCACTGCTTTCTACTCTGTGACACCTTCCCTGATTTCCTGTGTGTAAATATGTGCATAAACCAAACATAGTTATTGTTATTACTCCAGTAGGAGTGCAATCTCCCAGAGCCAAGAGGAAGTGGGCAAACAAGCACCCCATGGCATGTTATCAGGTGAACAAAAGCCAACACCCAGCAAGAAGTACCAGCTTGCCAAATCAAGTTTATAAAGCAGGACTCCTGTTACTCTCTGCAGCGGGTAGAGTCTCATGTAGGCTATGCATGCATTTCTCAGAAATCAAATACAGTATTCTTTCTGTCTGCACAGAAAAATAGAGGGGATCTGTTGGCCTGTCTGTCAATCCTATATGGGTTCATTATCTGAATCAGGTTTCAGATGGTTGTACATTTTGATTTATATAGTGATTTTTCTAAAAGTTTAAATGCAAAACTTAAGAAACACAGATTTATTCCATAGCACTGCAGTTTAAAACAGCTTTTCAGGAATGAAAATATGTTATGAGAATTTGTCAAATCATCCTCAGTTGTCTTATTTAAGTATCTAATGAGTTGTTTTATTGTATAAATAGCCTCCAAATATAATATTGCATTTATAAGGCCTCTTACAAGTTATGCATAATTATATATTGTGAGCTTTAATGAGGAATACATTTATCACACCTGAATATAAGAAATTAAACACATTTCTATAACCAAGGCAGTTCAGGGCCAAAATCATGTCACTTCTGATAAAAGTTATGTTATTAATCCATGATCATGTGCGTTGTTCTTTAAATGGCCCTTATGATTGGGGAGGCGAAATTAAATCTGCTTTACATTGAAGATGATAAAATCAAAGTTCACATTGGCTATTGTTTCTCTCTCCCTGCGCATCTTTGGCATTCTTAGTGCGCGCGGACAAAACTGGGAAACATGGCGCTGTTGCACGAAGCGCATGCAAAACACTGGGCACGTTTGAGCGGATAACTTTTGTCAAGTCGTGACCATCTTTGAACACCGCCTTTCAAAGTGTGTTGCCATATGGGGACAAAAATTGTCCGACTTGCGCCTACATGTCGACTGCATGAACTTTACATAAATCATGTGATCAAAGGTCATGACGTTTTGACTGCAGTCAACTGAACGTTTCTGCAGTTGCTATTCACGAACTTCATCCTGCAGCCATTGGCTGCATTGTTGGAGGCTCTATTCATTAGGATGTTTTTGTTTGACCTACAGGAACGTGACCAAAGACACTGACTGAAACAGGAATCAATTTTGCCGCCATTCATGTCAACCTGGACTCCGGGATAGACGTAACATAGTAAACAACATTCCGTGACACTCAAATTAGGATCATACAGTATATTACGTTTGGTATGGTATGTACTAATTTGTGGATGTCCATCATCCATTTTGTATGATATGTTATGAATTACAATTTGTATGATATGTTAGGAACAGTAGCAGTGATTGGGTAAAAACACTGAGGAAGCCAAGCCAGAAGAAAAATCCATATTACAACCAATGTGTTGTTTGCTCTATAACCTGTTAGTTCATATGCCTTGCGACCTGGATATATAGGCCTAAGGCCGAGACAATAAGAAGACACAGTGGAAGAATAAATTAAACCACCTTTGTTTCATCAAAAAAGCGGAGAGCAACCTCTGTCCAGTGAAATCCACAAAGCATATTGTATGGTCAAGCAAGTTCATGTTTCCGACATTTTTGGACTACTAAACAACTCTATATTTCGAACCATACAGTCGCGAAGAAAACAGGAGCTGCCTCCACTATTCCAACTAAAAAAGATGAAAAACAATTTAGTCCAATCAACGTCAGCTAAATATGATGTGGCTGTCCATGGTTCTGATTTCTGTGTGTGTGTGCAAGTAGAAAAAACATGTTAACTCACCTTTCTTGTAGAGAAACATCAATGCCATCCTCCTCTCTTTCATGTTGACGAAACGGTCTATCACTCTGTCATACTGTACACGCTTTTAGTTTTTGTTGTCCTAGGCTACCTGGCTAAAATGCTTGCTCGCAAGCCTAACTTCCTTTCATGGGCAACAATGAGTAAGCTAGTTAACATTAGCCAATATATCTAGCTACATATTGAACTTCCATTCACTCAGGCCAGGCGCACAATGTATGACTTTATGGTTGAATCGGAATTGCCATTATAATCATTGGCCAGTACAGAGAATTAAGTAAAACCACAAGTCCAAATCCATATCTCCATCCATGGCTAATTTAGGAAAGGGACCATTTTAGCCTGCTAGCTAGCTAGCCAACGAAGGACAACAACACAACGAGATGCAACAATTCAAGTTAATTCTGTCAATGACGTTTTGCTTTTGATGTGATGTGATTGGTGTGAAGACAAATCCAAACTGGCTTCCCTTGACAGTTTGTTTTGGTCCACCAGGACCATTCACAGTTGAGCTCACTCAGATTAGCTCAACGCTGATTGGCTATTATTTTATACTTTTTAAATCAAGGGAGGTCAAATGCTCACTGGCTTCTGTTGCATTTAATGCTACGGGCGGCAACAATGTTATACTCTTTTTGACCAGACAGCATCAGATAGATGGGCTACACATACGCTCGGATGCTTTCTCCGGTAAGATACATTCAGCCTCTTGCAAATGTAAGGAAATTATTATATGTTTTTTTCTTGGTACATTTTTGGGGGAAGCCTGGCTTCCCTTGGCATCCATAAATACACACCACTGATTATGAATTGCAATTCATTCAATGTTACGAATTTGCAATACATATTAAATGTACAAATTCCAATTCGTTGTGGCTAACACTAACGTTAGCTAGGTGTCTAACACTAGCTAGGAGTTAAGGTTAGGGTTAAGGTTAGGAGTTAGGCTAAAGGGTTAAGGTTAGCGTTAGGGGAAGGTTTAGCTAACATGCTAAGTAGTTGCAAAAAAAGTCCCTAATTAGCTAAAATGCTAAAGTTGTCCGTGATGAGATTCAAACACACACCCTTTGGGTTGCTAGATGTTAGTGTTATATGCCCACCCATCCACCTCGACCAACCAACCCTCCTTCCATTTTTGCCTTAAGTAACCTTCTGTCTTATGTAACCACACCAAATGTAACACATCATACTAATTTGAGTGTCCCGGATTTTCGTTTACTATGTTACTTCTAGTCTATGAGACCAGGCTATTCATGTAGGCTCAAGTGGTCTACAAATGAATGTGATATTTGAGACTCTCACACATTTGTGTTCAGTTTGTGTGTGATATGGCTGTTGGAGGAATGTTTATTTCAACATGATAAAGAAACACGTTTATTAACAATGACAACACTGTCATGTTGATCTGAGTCTTGCTGTTGGAAAACCACATTAGTGGCAGACTTTCGGCTGTCGCAGATGCACCTCCCCCGACTTCACTCTTCGACTTTCGACTACAGTCGGTTGCTTCAGCCTTACCACTCAAACGAGCCCACTATCAATTGAGTATACTGAGACGACAAGTAGGCCTATCAAACGGCACAGTCGGAAGATATTGGGCTACTTTAGGAAAATAACAATTAGAGGGGACTCTGTCTTCAAAGAAAAGCCCTCAAAATGAACAATATTGCAGTGGAGGGGGATGACCACAGTTTGGAAGTGTCCTCAAATGGTAAAATCACTGTTGATAATGATGACAAGTCGAGGGAGGGGGTCTTGCCGAGTAGCCTCAGAAGACCCCGCAGTTACAGGCCAAAATCTAAAGATCATAAAAGGCTTAACCCTCACAAATTAGTTTTGCGATATATTGTGCCATGTATGAATTCATATGGTCTGTGCATTGTGGACAATTTTCTCGGAAACAAAATTGGAGAGCGAGTTCTACAAGAAGTCCGACACATTCACCAAGGTGGAAAGATGCAAGACGGAGAACTTGCAGGTGGAAACTTTGGCAAAAACAAGTCCATTCGAGGTGATACAATTTCTTGGGTGGAAGGGACTGAAACAGGTTGTGAAAACCTTGGCTTTCTATTGACAAGAATGGACAAACTCGTCACGTATGCCGACGGTAAACTGGGAAACTACAACATTAAAGGGAGGCATAAGGTTAGTAGTATTTTCCCCAATCAGATCTGATTAGTATGAATGCATAATCACTCATATTAACCGAGTTAAATTATGAATGTGTTAGTTTAGGATGTATAGCCTATTCCTTAGGGCAACAGGTGGAAAAAACGGTCTATTCATATTTGATTCAATTGACCTGTTCTGTCGCCTAGAAATTGACACCATTCTATAATTATACACAATTACTGAATAATAATAAATACTTCAATAAATTATTTATATTGTGTATTTATTATTATTATTATTATTATTATTATTATTATTATTATTATTATACCCAGACACTTTTCATGGAGATGCAAATAGTCGGGGTTTGTGGCACTTTGCCATGGTCATGTTTACCTCAGTGGAGAGGAGGTGCAGCGAGCGGCTTCAAGAGGGCTACATGCGCCTGGTGGAATCCTCAATGGCGGAGGACACGCCTAACGCACGCGCACAGAAATAAACATATATTTTTTTTTTATATCAATTGCATTGGAGATGTTTGTGCAACATTTTTTATCTACTTATCATTAGCCCAATGAAAAACAAAATTTTAAAGGATCACTTTACTTTGACGCCCAAAATAAAATGAGGGATGTTCATCGTTTATCCTTTGTCCGTACTTATGTTTAATTGTGCACATAGAATAACATGCTTTTATATAGTCTTGCTTATATAATAATCTGTGATCGTGCGTAGGCGTTCTGAGTCAGTTCAATAGAATGAATGACAGTCCTTGCTTCCCTCCGCCCCACTAGTGCTACAACACATCTTGCACGTTCCGTATTTATATCTAGGTGCCTCATTCGCTGCTTGTTTCTACTTTGGAGTTTAGAGTTGCTGCAGAACATAACTCTTCTGCAGAAAACAATTGTGACATTTCCTCTCTTAAGAATTGAATCTAGTCGTTTCTGAGAGCGAGTAGGGTTGCATTGTTGAGAAATATTTATCAGTGATCCATACCCTTATGCACTGACATTATCTTGCAGTTGTGGTAACATAATTTTAGGAGCTGATTTAAGCTGAATTAAATTACTGATAAATCGTCAAAATGCCACTTCTGCAACATGTAATGGACGCAGAGTTGGAGCGGTTAGCCATGGACCAGATTGTCCCATCTCTACTGGACCAAGGATTATTTTACGTGGACAACTTTCTAGGAGAATTGGTTGGGCACTTTGTTTTGAACCAAGTGAAAGAGATGCACAACTCTGGAGTTCTGCAGGATGGACAGCTGGCTGGTCCTTGCCCGAGTTCTGGGGTCTCCAAAAGGAACATTAGAGGAGATAAGATAGCCTGGGTCAATGGCGGTGAAAGGGGGTGCGAGGCTATTCACCTCCTTCTTACATTAATCGATAAATTGGTTTCTCTTTGCATCGGCCGACTTGGAAAAAGTATAATTCGAGAAAGATCTAAGGTAAGTTGTGCGACAGTTGTGCGTAAATTGCGCGTGTCCATGGTGTTTGAGGGGGGTCACTGTTTTGACGATACAGAGATAATTTAGTAGGCCTGTACAGTACTATATTACTATATACTCTACAGTTGTGGACACACCTCTAAACGTATTGTTCATGGAAGAAATATGTATATTGTTATTACATGACCTAAACTTTATACAACATGTTAGTGTCACGGTTTCGGCCGAGGCTGCTCCTCCTCCTTGTTCGGGCAGGTTTCGGCGGTCGTCGTCCCCGGAGTACTAGCTGCCACCGATCTATGTTTCATGGTCGTTTGGTTTTGTCTTGATGTTGTACACCTGTGTCTAGTTAGTCCTCGTTAGTGTCCTATTTAGTTATCGTTGTGTGTGTTGGGTGTTGTGTGTGATTGCTCCTCTGTTTGGTGTTCTGAGCTACGTATCTTCCCTCCGTTGTTTGGCGAGGTTTTCGCACATGTTAGTGCGCCTTTTGTTTGACGCCTGTGTGCGCCTTTATTTCGCCTCCGGGCTTATGGTTCTCGTGTATTACGTGAATAACTCACTAAAGTCTTTTGGACTAAGCTTCTGCGTCCTGCGCTTGATTCCTGCACCACACCCACCTTCAGCACCCCTGACAGAATCACACACCACACCCAACACACACAACGATAACTAAATAGGACACTAACGAGGACTAACTAGACACAGGTGTACAACATCAAGACAAAACCAAACGAACATGAAACATAGATCGGTGGCAGCTAGTACTCCGGGGACGACGACCGCCGAAACCTGCCCGAACAAGGAGGAGGAGCAGCCTCGGCCGAAACCGTGACAGTTAGACTCTGGCCTAGGTCTATATGATATTCTTAGAAATGTACTGTTTATATATAAGGGGTTAAAACAAGTAAAATGTAAAGTTGTAATGTCATGTGCACAAATACAGTGAAATGCCTTTCTTGCAAGCTTTAAACCCAACAATGCAGTAATCAATATCAAACAAAAAATAACATAAGGTAAAACAAAAACACACAATAAATAAAAATAAGAAATAAGAAGAACATGAGAAGTAAGAAAGCTATACTGTATACAGGGTCAGTTCCAATACTATATTTACAATGTGCGGGGATACTGGAGTGATAGAGGTAATAATAATAATAATATAATATGCCATTTAGCAGACGCTTTTATCCAAAGCGACTTACAGTCATGCGTGCATACATTTTTGTGTATGGGTGGTCCCGGGGATCGAACCCACTACCTTGGCGTTACAAGCGCCGTGCTCTACCAATTGAGCTACAAAGGACCACATTGAGCTACAAAGGACCACAAACGTACATATACTACATGACCAAAAGTATGTGGGCACCTGCTTGTCGAACATTTCATTCCAAAATCATGGGCATTAATATGGAGTTGGTCCACCCTTTGCTGCTATAACAGCCTACACTCTTCTGGGAAGGCTTTCCACTAGATATTGGAACATTGCAACAGGGATTTGTTTCCATTCAGCCACAAGAGCATTAGTGAAGTCGAGCACTGATGTTGGGCGATTAGGCCTGGCTTGCAGTCAGAGTTCTAAATCATCCCAAAGGTGTTCGATGGGGTTTAGGTCAGGGCTCTGTGCAGGCCAGTTAAGTTCTTCCACACCGATCATGACAAACCATTTCTGTATGGACCTCGCTTTGTGCACAGGGCATTGTCATGCTGAAACAGGAAAGGGCCTTCCCCAAACTATTGCCACAAAGTTGGAAGCACAGAATCATCTAGAATGTCATTGTATGCTGTAGCGTTACGTTTTCCCTTCACTGGAACTAAGGAGCCTGAACCATGATAAACAGCCACAGACCATTATTCCTCCTCCACCAAACTTTACAGTTGGCACTATGCATTGGGGCTGGTAGTGTTCTCCTGGCATCCACCAAACCCAGATTCGTCCTTCAGACTGCCTGATGGTGAAGAGTGATTCATCACTCCAGAGATCGCGTTTCCACTGCTCCAGAGTCCAATGGCGGCAAGCTTTACACCACTCCAGTTGACGCTTGACATTGCGCATGGTGATCTTAGGCTTGTGTGCGGCTGCTCAGCCATGGAAACCCATTTCATGAAGCTCCCGACTAACAGTTATTGTGCTGACGTTGCTTCCAGAGGCAGTTTGAAACTCAGTAGTGAGTGTTGCAACCGAGGACAGACTCGCCGGTCCCGTTCTGTGAGCTTGTGTGGCCTACCACTTCACGGCTGAGTCATTGTTGCTCCTAGACGTTTCCACTTCACAATAACAGCACTTACAGTTGACAGGGGCAGCTCTAGCAGGGCAGAAATTTGACAAACTGACTTGTTGGAAAGGTAGCATCCTATGACGGTGCCACAAAAGTCACTGAGCTCTTCAGTGAGGCCATTCTACTGCCAATGTTTGTCTATGGAGATTGCATGGCTGTGTGCTCGATTTTATACACCTGTCAGCAATGGGTGTGGCTGAAATAGCCGAATTCACTGATTTGAAGGGGTGTCTACATACTTTTGTATATATAGTGTATGTATAGGGGTAAGGTGACTTTGCATCAGGATATATGATAAACAGAGTAGCAGCAGCGTAAATGATGACTGTATGTGAGTGCGTGTGTAGAGTCAGTATAAATGTGTGTGCATATGAAGTGAGTGAGTAAGTGTGTGTGTGTGTGTGTGTTGGAGTGTCAGTGTGCGTGAGTGTGTAGAGTCCTGTGAGTGTGCATAGAGACAGTGCAGTAAAATACAAGGGTCAACTCAGATAGTCCATGTAGCCATTTTGTTAGCTATTTAGCAGTCTTATGGATTGGGGATATAAGCCTGTTCAGGAGCCTGTTGGTGTCAGACTTGACGTTTGCCATGCGAAAGCAGAGAGAGCAGTCTATGGCTAGGGTGACTGGAGTCTTCAACAATTTTTTGGGCCTTCCTTTCAACCCACCTGATATAGAGGTCCTGGATGGCAGGGAGCTCGGCCCCAGTGATGTACTGGGATGTCCGCAACCAGTCAAGATGCTCTCAATGGTGCAGCTGTATAACTTTTTGAGGATTTGAGGTCCCATGAGGTCTTCACGACCGTGCGCGTGTGTTGTTTTATTCTATTCTGTTCTATTTATTTAAGAGTTGGCCTATGCATTCTGAAATATATACTGTTTTAATGCATATCAGTCAACTTTTTAAAATGTTGACAGTGTACTTTGGATAGCCACCATTTTGTGTATTTATTACTCCCCTTTTTATCATCATACATTTATAATAATTGTGAGCCTCAAAGTGTAGGTTTACAGGTGGACCAATTGCTTACGTACTGTAAACATACTTCATTACACATTTTGCAGGGCTTTGTAAAGTGTTATTGCATAGAGCCATGACAATCCCACAATCTACTCACAATAACTTTGATCTTATATGCAGTCAACAAGTAACACGTGATGCAATCACACACACGTATGTTGTGCTGAGTGCAGTGCAGGTTATGGGTGGTACGTGACTCCTCACACTGCCTATAGCTGTTTGTACTCTCAGAAAGCCAGAGTTTAAGCAGGAAATAGCGTGTGAACACTACACCACAATGCAATACACCAAACTTGGCCATAGAGTCAGTCAGTACTGCACATCCCCTCACCACCCACAGCCCAACACCACCTAGGGAGAGGGAGAGAGAGAGGGAGAGGAATACACAGAGGGAGGGAGAGTGATAGCGAGGGACATAGAGGGAGGTAGAGGGAGAGAGAGGGAGATGGGGTGAGAGAGGGAGAGGGAGCGCGAGAGGGAGGGAGAGGGAGAGAGAGAGGGAGAGAGGGAGAGGGAGCGAGAGAGGGAGGGGAGAGGGAGAGGGAGAGGGAGAGGGAGAGAGAGGGAGCGAGAGAGGGAGGGAGAGGGAGAGAGATGGATGAGAGAGGGAGAGGGAGCGAGAGAGGGAGGGAGAGAGAGAGAGAGAGAGAGAGGGAGAGCGAGGGAGGGAGAGAGAGGGAGAGAGAGAGGGAGAGGAATACACAGAGGGAAGGAGAGCGATAGCGAGGGACAGAGAGGGAGAGAGAGGGAGATGGGGTGAGAGAGAGAGAAAGAGAATGAGAGGGAGAGGGAGAGAGGCCTGTAGACCTAGCAGTGCTATGTTGAGTCTGCTGGCTCATGCTGTACACGTAGCACTGTCATTAAACCTTCAACAGCCTGGCAGCCTGCCAGCTCTGCTCTGTGTGGACTTCCCACTCCTTTCTCTTGCTTCATATGTTTTTGCTCTTCTTTGACAACACTGTGTACGTGCGTACATGCCCCCACTGTAGACAGTAAACACTGGGTGCGTCATAGTACTCCTTTCCTCAGTATGTGCCGACAGGAAATATGCTGCTGTGCAAATAAACTAAAGGATCACTTTATCAGATAAGACCCTTGTGATGTTGCTCCAGAAGAGTGATTCTATTACAGCTTTATTATATAGGTGTGTGCATAGTAGTGATCGTTCAACATTCAAAGGAGATGAATAGTTAAAGGAATAGTCTAAAGGTTGCTGTGAAATTGATAGGTTGCTGGCATGACACGATTCCAATGCTATCTTTATGGTCATCCTATTATTCTTTTGTTTCCGTGTCTGCGGATATTCTTCCTTCAGGAACCTAATATGGACTCTCCCTGGAGAAACGGAAAATCCCAGGATAAGAAGAAGCGTTTATTTCCAAAACGCTATATCTATCTATTAAACAAATAAATCCTTGTCCGATTACGTTCCTTCGTGTCTACAAGTACTAGCCTTAAAATGTGTCCCATATCTGATGCCCAAATCAAATGTTACATGACAGAATGTTGCTTGGCCTCTAGCAAACCCTCTATCTGACCCAACGTGTCCATCCCTGGTCGTAACCACGTCTTTATTCGCTTTGCTTTGAGGGCTTTTCTTTACTTTCTTATCACAAGATCGATTACCACAGTTTGGTTAATTGTGCTTCCTTGGATGCTGACTGAATGCACGTAGGCCAGTCCTGCTGAAGCCACAACGCTCCCTCCCAAAGCAACGCTTACAGGAAATGATCTGCAACCAAGATATTAACCCATAAATGTCTTCATGTTACATTTTTATCTCTGATTTGCAGAAACTATTTCTGTATTCTTAGAATATAGTCAAGGCATTTCCACAAATATTTTCTCACAAAAAAGGCTTCTGTAATGGTGTACACTACAGTTATCGTGTCACATATTATCATGATTAATGATGATCAGCATCAAGGATACAAAATCTAATGTGTAACAGACTGAGAACTTATATGTTTTCTTTTGTGTTTTGTCTGTTTCAGGCGATGGTGGCGTGTTATCCAGGAAATGGGACAGGATATGTGAAACATGTGGACAATCCCAACGCTGACGGTCGCTGTATCACCTGTATCTACTACCTCAACAAAAACTGGAACCCCGTGAGCTGCAGATTTATGACATATTTATTACATATTATTGCATATATTTAATTTAGGGAAGAAGTAGAGTGTGCTCAACCAACGTGAGTAGAGGTGCAACCTAAAAATGTGTAGACATCATTGGACAGGAAAAGGCGCAACGCTCACTCACCATTAAAAATTATTCGTTTTATTTCTACAAGTTAAAAAAATAGATGTTTCGGCTTTCAATGGCCTTCTTCAGTATCTGAAGAAGGTGAATGATGACCGAAACGTCTACCTTTTAAACTTGTCTAATAAAACTAAGAATGACCTTTACGGAACAAATAATGATGATTCACACTTTGACAATATATATAATAAATTATCAACCCTGAAAGCAATACAAGACTCTATTATTATGGTGGGAGATTATAATACTGTTTTAAATAGCTCAATGGACCGTAAAGGAAATCACACTACAAACTATCACCCTCATGCTCTTAAGGAAATCATGAATGTCATGGATACATTAAAATTAGTAGATATATGGAGGCTTAAATATCCTGACCTAGTGAGATATACATGGCGGAGACTCAATCAAGCTAGTCGTCTTGACTTCCAAAAGTTTAAAAAGTGTTGATAGGGGACAGAATGCGGTCGGACCATCATATAATTGTCAGAGGCGACGTGTATGCGGTGAGTGAAGTCAAGCGCAGGACACAGAGATACTAGCAGACGTACTTTACTAAATGTAAAGAACATGCAAAAACCAAAACCTCCTAACAGGGAGGAAAACAAATACACGAATACGACAAACAGCAATGCCGATACAGCCTAGACACAAAACAATAACACACAATTACCAAACGAGAGACATGGGTAAATCTAGGGACTACAATCAAACATAATAGCAAACAGGTGTAACCACTCAAGACAGAACAAGACAAACACCGAAACATCGATCGGCAGTAGCTAGTACTCCGGGGATGACGAACGCCGAAGCCTGCCCGAGCAAGGAGGAGGAGCAGCCTTGGCAGAATCCGTGACAATAATTGGCATATACATTACTCTTAGTGAATTTCCAAGTGGGCGAGGATATTGGAAATTTAATCTAAGCCTATTGGATGATAACTTGTTTCTAACAAGGACAGAGGAATTTATAACTGATTTTTTCAGACATAACATAGGTACAGCAAATCCCCTTATTGTATGGGACACTTTTAAATGTGCCTTTAGAGGCCATGCAATTTAGTACTTAAAAACAAAAGCAGTTTAGGTCAAAAGAGTCAATACTAACAAAGGAAATAGAAGGTCTAACAGAACAGATAGATAGCAATAAAAACTGTAACATAGAGGCTCAGAATAAATGAGAGGAAAAACAAAAAGAAATTGAGAAACTTATTCATAGCAGACTTTGAAAAGGCATTATATAAAGTACGACTGGAGTTTATATATAAATGCCTGGAGCGTTTCAATTTTGGAGAATCTCTTAGAAAATGGGTTAAACTCATGTATAGTAACCGTAGGTATAAAATAGTAAATAATGGCTATTTCTCTGAAAGTTTTAAACTGTCAAGAGGAGTAAAACAAGGTTGTCCACTATTGGCATATCTATTTATTATGGCCATCAAAATGTTAGCTATTAAAATCAGATCCAACAATAATATCAAGGGATTAGAAATCCAGGGTTTAAATCCACAACTTGAATCCCTCCACAGCCTCATAGAGGATCTAGATACATTTTCTAACCTCTCTGGATTACAACCAAATTATGATAAATGTACTATATTATCTATTGGATCACTAAAAAATAAAAATTTTACATTACCATGTAGTTTACCAATAAAATGGTCTGATGGTGATGTGGATATACTCGGAATACATATCCCAAATGAAATAAATGATCTCACTCCAATACATTTTAATAGAAAGTTAGCAAAAATAGGTAAGATCTTGCTACCATGGAAAGGTAAATACCTGTCTATTTGTGGAAAAATCATCCTGATTAATTAACTCTTTAGTATTATCGCAGTTTAGCTACTTGCTTATGGTAATGCCTACGCCTAGCGAACAGTTCTTTAAATTATATGTGAAAAAAATATTCCATTTTATTTGGAACGGCAAGCCAGACAAAATTAAACGGGCCTATTTATATAATGAATATGAATTCGGAGGACATAAATGATTCAATATTACAGCATTAGACCTATCACTAAAAGCTTCAGTCATTCAAAAGTTATACTTAAATCCGAACTGGTTCTCTAGTAAAGATTTTCTCACCCCATGTTCAAGAATGGCCTTTTTCCCTTTATTCAAATTACAACCTCTCACTTTCAGTTATTTGAAAATGAAATAATCTCCCAAATATCACTATTTCTAAAACAAGCCATAGAAAGTTGGTTGCAATTTCAATTTAATCTTCCAGAAACAACAGAACAAATAATGCAACAAATATTGTGGTTAAACTCAAATATACTAATTGATAAAAAGCCAGTATTTTTTGAGAAAATGTTTAAAAAAGGTATAATCTTTGTAAATGATATCATAGGTAGGACTGGTGGAGTTATGTCGCACATGCAGCTAACAAAAACATATGGAAATGTCTGCTCTACCCAAAATTACAACCAAATAATTGCAGCATTACCGCAAAAATGGAAGAAGAAAGTGTAAGGGGGAAAAAAGTAAGGAACTTGTCTGTCGGCCCTGCATTAAAAAACAGAATTGGTTAAAGAAAATTGTGATAAATAAAAATATATACCAGTTTCATTTAAAAATTGACAGCCGTGCCATATAGATTGCAAAATAGTTGGGAAGAGATTTTTGACGTATCGATTCCATGGCATAGTGTTTATGAACTGATACGCAAAACGATGCCGGATTCAAAACTTATAATTTTTCTATGTCAATTATTATACAAAATTCTTGCTACCAATAGAATGTTATTTATATGGGGGATACAATCTTCCCAGCTCTGCAGATTTCGCTGTGTTTTTGTACCGTCCATTTGTGGCTTGTTTTTGGTCACAGGTCAAGGAATGGCTGAAAGATTGCAATATTTACCTGGAGCTAACCCTGTAGATAGCACTACTGGGTGATCTGAAAAGTCATAGTCAATCGATCAATAATATAATAATACTTTTAGCAAAAATGTTTATTTTCAATTTACAATCTGTAGAAACAATGAGAATAGAAGGGTTCAGAACTTTTGTGAAACATCACAGTACAGTTGAAAAATATATGGCAAATAGAAATCCAATATGGATGGTGTTAAGAGATAGATGGGAGGTGTTGAATGGAGCTGAAGGATGGGACTAATAACAACTAACAACAGCTAATAACAGCAATATAATTAATGTAGGGCATGCTGTGTCCATAATAAGTATATAGGTTATAGGTTGAGAGCTTTTGTGAAGGAGCACAGTTGGAGAGATATGGCATATAGAAGCAAACCGGATGGACATCATGAAAATGAACGGAGAGGTTGAGGAAGTTTACATTTGAGTCATTTAGCAGACGCTCTTATCCAGAGCGACTTAGTGAGTGCATACATTTTTTTTCATACTGGTGCCCCGTGGGAAACGAACCCACAACCCTGGCGTTGCAAACGCCATGCTCTACCAACTGAGCTACACGGAACTTTCAGAAAATATAATTATTGTAAAATTGACTGTGTCCATAAAATGTATATAGTATGTACAGTTAAAGTCGGAAGTTTACATGCACTTATTTTGGAGTCATTAAAACGTTTTCAACCACTCCAGAAATTTCTTGTTAACAAACTATAGTTTTAGCAAGTCGGTTAGGACATCTACTTTGTGCATGACACAAGTAATTTTTCCAACAATTGTTTACAGACAGATTATTTCACTTATAATTCACTGTATCACAATTCCAGTGGGTCAGAAGTTTACATACACTAAGTTGACTGTGCCTTTAAACAGCTTGGAAAATTCCAGAAAATTATGTCATGGCTTTAGAAGCTTCTGATAGGCTAACTGACATCATTTCAGTCAATTGGAGGTGTATCTGTGCCTCTTTGCTTGACATCATGGGAAAATCAAAAGAAATCAGCCAAGACCTCTGAAAAAAATTTGTAGACCTCCACAAGTCTGGTTCATCCCTGGGAGCAATTTCCAAATGCCTGAAGGTACCACGTTCATCTGTACAAACAATAGTACGCAAGTATAAACACCATGGAACCAAGCAGCCGTCATACCGCTCAGGAAGGAGACGCGTTCTGTCTCCTAGAGATGAACGTACTTTGGTGTGAAATGTGCAAATCAATCCCAGAACAACAGCAAAGGACCTTGTGAAGATGCTGGAGGAAACAGGTACAAAAGTATCTATATCCACAGTAAAATGAGTCCTATATCGACATAACCTGAAAGGCCGCTCAGCAAGGAAGAAGCCACTGCTCCCAAAACCGCCATAAAAAAGCCAGACTACGGTTTGCAACTGCACATGGGGACAAAGATCGTACTTTTTGGAGAAATTTCCTCTGGTCTGATGAAACAAAAATAGAACTGTTTGGCCATAATGACCATCGTTATGTTTGGAGGAAAAAGGGGAACGCTTGCAAGCTGAAGAACACCATCCCAACCGTGAAGCACGGGGGTGGCAGCATCATGCTGTGGGGGTGCTTTGCTGCAGGAGGGACTGGTGCACTTCACAAAATAGATGGCATAATGAGGAAGGAAAATTATGTGGATATATTGAAGCAACATCTCAAGACATCAGTCAGGCAGTTAAAGCTTTGTCGCAAATGGGTCTTCCAAATGAACAGTGACCCCAAGCATACTTCCAAAGTTGTGGCAAAATGTCTTAAGGACAACAAAGTCAAGGTATTGGAGTGGCCATCACAAAGCCCTGACCTCAATCCTATAGAACATTTTTGGGCAGAACTGAAAAAGCGTGTGCGAGCAAGGAGGCCTACAAACCTGACTCAGTTACACCAGCTCTGTCAGGAAGAATGAGCCAAAATTCACCCAACTTATTGTGGGAAGCTTGTGGAAGGCTACCCGAAACGTTTCACACAAGTTAAACAATTTAAAGGCAATGCTACCAAATACTAATTTAGTGTATGTAAACTTCTGACCCACTGAGAATGTGATGAAAGAAATATAAGCTGAAATAAATAATTATCTCTACTATTATTCTGACATTTCACATTCTTAAAATAAAGTGGTGATCCTAACTGACCTAACACAGGTTATTTTTACTAGGATGAAATGTCAGGAAAAACTGAGTTTAAATGTATTTGGCTAAGATGTATGTAAAGTTCTAACTTCAACTGTGTAAGCTGGAAGTAGAGGCCTAAGCGTTGTTGTTCACTAGTTTACTCCAATTAGGGATTGGGTGGTGGGGTTGGAAAGTAATAAAGGGAAATCTATATATTTTTAAAGGATATGTATATATATGTATGTGTATGTATGTATATGTATGTATATGTATATATGTGTATGTTTATATGTATATATATGTGTATGTATGTATATATATATATATATATATATATATATATATATATATATATACATTGAGGGAAAAAATAATTTGATCCCCTGCTGATTTTGTACGTTTGCCCACGGACAAAGACATGATCAGTCTATAATTTTAATGGTAGGTTTATTTGAACAGTGAGAGACAGAATAACAACAAAAAAATCCATGTCAAAAATGTTATAAATTGATTTGCATTTTAATGAGGGAAATAAGTATTTGACCCCTCTGCAAAACATGACATACTACTTGGTGGCAAAACCCTTGTTGGCAATCACAGAGGTCAGACGTTTCTTGTAGTTGGCCACCAGGTTTGCATACATCTCAGGAGGGATTTTGTCCCACTCCTCTTTGCAGATCTTCTCCAAGTCATTAAGGTTTCGAGGCTGATGTTTGGCAACTCGAACCTTCAGCTCCCTCCACAGATTTTCTATGGGATCAAGGTCTGGAGACTGGCTAGGCCACTCCAGGACCTTAATGTGCCTCTTCTTGAGCCACTCCTTTGTTGCCTTGGCCGTGTGTTTTGGGTCATTGTCATGCTGGAATACCCATCCACGACCCATTTTCAATGCCCTGGCTGAGGGAAGGAGGTTCTCACCCAAGATTTGACGGTACATGGCCCCGTCCATCGTCCCTTTGATGCGGTGAAGTTGTCCTGTCCCCTTAGCAGAAAAACACCCCCAAAGCATAATGTTTCCACCTCCATGTTTGACGGTGGGGATGGTGTTTTTGGGGTCATAGGCAGCATTCCTCCAAACACGGCGAGTTGAGTTGATGGCAAAGAGCTCTATTTTGGTCTCATCTGACCACAACACTTTCACCCAGTTCTCCTCTGAATCATTCAGATGTTCATTGGCAAACTTCAGACGGGCCTGGACATGCGCTGGCTTGAGCAGGGGGACCTTGCGTGCGCTGCAGGATTTTAATCCATGACGGCGTAGTGTGTTACTAATGGTTTTCTTTGAGACTGTGGTCCCAGCTCTCTTCAGGTCATTGACCAGGTCCTGCTGTGTAGTTCTGGGCTGATCCCTCACCTTCCTCATGATCATTGATGCCCCACGAGGTGAGATCTTGCATGGAGCCCCAGACCGAGGGTGATTGACCGTCATCTTGAACTTCTTCCATTTTCTAATAATTGCGCCAACAGTTGTTGCCTTCTCACCAAGCTGCTGGCCTATTGTCCTGTAGCCCATCCCAGCCTTGTGCAGGTCTACAATTTTATCCCTGATGTCCTTACACAGCTCTCTGGTCTTGGCCATTGTGGAGAGGTTGGAGTCTGTTTGATTGAGTGTGTGGACAGGTGTCTTTTATACAGGTAACGAGTTCAAACAGTTGCAGTTAATACAGGTAATGAGTGGTGATTAGGAGGCCTTCTTAAAGAAAAACTAACAGGTCTGTGAGAGCCGGAATTCTTACTGGTTGGTAGGTGATCAAATACTTATGTCATGCAATAAAATGCAAATTAATTACTTAAAAATCATACAATGTGATTTTCTGGATTTTTGTTTTAGATTCCGTCTCTCACAGTTGAAGTGTACCTATGATAACAATTACAGACCTCTACATGCTTTGTAAGTAGGAAAACCTGCAAAATCGGCAGTGTATCAAATACTTGTTCTCCCCACTGTATATACAGTGCTATGAAAAAGTATTTGCCCCCTTTCTAATGTTCTCTACTTTTGCATATTTGTGATACTGAATGTTATCAGATCTTCAACCAAAACCTAATATTAGATAAAGGGAACATAAGTGAACAAATAACACAACAATTACATATCTATTTCATTTATTTCATCAACAAAGTTATGCAACACCCAATTCCCCTGTGTGAAAAGTAATTGCCCCCTTACACTCAATAACTGGTTGTGCCACCTTTAGCTGCAATGACTCCAACCAAATGCTTCCTGTAGTTGTTGATCAGTCTCTCACGTTGCTGTGGAGGAATTTTGGCCCACTCTTCCATGCAGAACTGCTTTAACTCAGTGACGTGTGGGTTTTCAAGCATGAACTGCTCGTTTCAAGTCCTGCCACAACATCTCAATTGGGATTAGGTCTGTCTGGACTTTGACTAGGCCATTCCAAAACTTCCAATTTGTTGCTTTTTAGTGTCACACCCTGGCTCTGGGACTCTATATGTTGAGCCAGGGTGTGTTATATTTCTATGTTGGGGGTTCTAGTTCTTCTGTTTCTTTGTTGGCCTGAGTGACTCCCAATCAGAGGCAACGAGTGTCAGCTGTGGCTGGTTGTCTCTGATTGGGAGCCATATTTAAACTGTCTGTTTTTCCCTTGGTGTTTGTGGGTTTTTGTTCCTGTTGGTTTGTTCCGTTTTGGTTGTGCTAAACCTAGGATGACATGGTTCCAGTAATGCCTGGCGAAAAACAAACTCTGCATTCCACAGTAAGAACATCATACCAAAGGTCAAGCATGGTGGTGGTGGTGTGATGGTTTGGGGATGCTTTGCTGTCTCAGGACCTGGACGACTTGCCTTAATAGAAGGAACCATGAATTCTTCTCAGTGTCAGAGAATTCTACAGGAGAATGTCAGACCATCCGTCTGTGAGCTGAAGCTGAAGCGCAACTGGGTCATGCAGCAAGACAATGATCCAAAACCCACAATCAAGTCTACATGAAAATTGCTAAAAAGCAACAAATTGGAAGTTTTGGAATGGCCTAGTCAAAGTCCAGACCTAATCCCAATTGAGATGTTGTGGCAGGACTTGAAACGAGCAGTTCATGCTTGAAAACCCACACGTCACTGAGTTAAAGCAGTTCTGCATGGAAGAGTGGGCCAAAATTCCTCCATAGCGACGTGAGAGACTGATCAACAACTACAGGAAGCATTTGGTTGGAGTCATTGCAGCTAAAGGTGGCACAACCAGTTATTGAGTGTAAGGGGGCAATTACTTTTCACACAGGGGAATTGGGTGTTGCATAACTTTGTTGATGAAATAAATGAAATAAATATGTAATTGTTGTGTTATTTGTTCACTTATGTTCCCTTTATCTAATATTAGGTTTTGGTTGAAGATCTGATAACATTCAGTATCACAAATATGCAAAAGTAGAGAAAATTAGAAAGGGGGCAAATACTTTTTCATAGCACTGTATATTTGCGAGAGAGAAAAACATGGTGGATTGGAAGTGATGCAGACAATTACATTGATGGAAGTTACAATCTATCTGCAATATTAAAGCTGATCTACCCCCCTAAAAAAAACATGGTGAGTGAGCGCTGCGCCTTTTCCTGTCCAATTATATATTTATTTTCGTACAAATTCTTATTACATTTTATTTATTTTTACCTATGGAATACACGCAATCACCCACAGTCCATTCAGATTACAGTTAGGTTTTCAAGACAGTCACTGTATTGTCTATTTAATTGTTTGGTTCCCTTTATAACATCAGGATTCTTGTCATATTTAAGGTTTATTTTTTAGAGACTATGAAAATGTGAGATATTTCCATACACCGCTGGTTGGAAAACCCCCTCTGGCTTATGATCTTTGTAAATTGCAGAGCCTCTTAGGGCTCAACGTGTTCTTCTGTAAAGCTGAAATAAACTATGGGTCTTCGTTATTTTGCAGGAACATGGCGGAATTCTTCGCATTTTTCCCGAGGGCAAATCCTACGTTGCAGATGTTGAGCCCCTGTTTGACAGACTGCTGTTCTTTTGGTCAGATAGAAGGAATCCACATGAGGTGCAGCCTTCATATGCAACAAGGTCTGTTTGATGCAACGTACTGTTATTATACAGATAATTATTCTGTTCATTCATATGCAAAAAGGTCTGAATCTGCTGTTGAATGTATCATACTGTTATTATTATACAGACAACATTTCTCTGTACATTTTCTTGACACTGTTAGATTTTCATAAAATGCTAAAGAAGATGTAATGTAATTATGTAATAATAATAATTCAGAATGTTGCTTTGTTCCAGATATGCTATAACCGTGTGGTATTTCGATTCAGTAGAAAGGACAGAAGCAAAGAGACGGTTTAGAGACTTAACAGGTACATTTCTTCATTGGAATATTTAACTTACATCTATGTGTAAACAAATACATTCGGTAATGCTTTACATTAAGTTGCTCTTAATCCTGTATAGTAACATTGTAATTACAACAGTCAGGTTAACTGTCATCAGGTTACAACATGTATCCTAATGTAACCTAATCCTTGAAGCTAGAATTCTTAGTCGCTACATTTTCAGATGTATAGATTAATCATATACACCCATTGATTCTTGAAGAATATAACAAATAAATGCCTCATTAGCTTAGTTCAACTGTCGTACCCCATCAGAACCCAAATATAAGCTTGTTTTACTCCTATACTTGTAAACAATGTAAATGTAAACACACACTGTATAGCCTCAAAACATGGTTAAGGGCTCAAGGGCTCTATTCATTCTGTAAAGCTGAAGCGTTACAGATTCTGCGATAGAAATGTAAAGGTGATTTCCGATTGAGCCAACATATGCAGCGTTTACCGTGAATGCAGTCTCCGCTAAAACGGGAACATTGCCTTTAAATTTCAATCACGTTGTAAAGCTGAACTTCTGCGATGCGTATTGAATAGAGCCCTAAAACTATAATTGATAGTGACCGCTATGTTATTGTTTCAATTAAGGATTCTAGCTTTAATGGCATTCATCTATTTCAGCCTCCACCCAAGATCTGGACGGAAGCACTACTCCCTGAACTTTGACCTTATAAGAGACTCCATCCTGTGTGACACAATACAACACTGGATCCCTAATCCTTTGTGCTGACATGGGCTGACAGAGTTTTCATGCTTTGGTCTGATCACTGTTTGGACTGTGCTGTGGTACCTCTTCTAAACGCTACAAAGAAGTTGAAAGCTACAAAGATGTGTAGTTGTGGTAGATGATAAGAAGATATATGTTAATGGATTTGTGCATATATTTAGAAATAAAATGATTTGCTGCTCTTTCAATATCAGTGGTACTCATCATTGTTTTTAAACCTAAGTGTCCTGAATCAACCCAAATAATACTGTACTACTTCCTGAAATGTCTTTATAGAATGTAGTTAAAAAGTGTAGTTGGGTTCAAATCAACTGAATTCCCTCATTTAACTACTGCTGTTCTAAAATAATTGTTTACCAGTTCATGCATGCCGGTTTGTTGTATTGTTCCGTTTCAGTCAGGTAGACAGAGAGAGAGAGAGAGAGAGAGAGAGAGAGAGAGAGAGCGAGAGAGAGGGTGTGTGTGTGTGTGCATGTTCACGTGCACGCATGTGTGTATTATACAATTTGGCCCATCTAGAATTAAAATGTGTGCATGTAAATCTTGAACAGTAAAGATTAATTGAGGTGACAATGTCATGTTGAAAAACACTAAGGCCTAGATTCAATCAGATCAAGCATTAACCGGCGATAGCCAACACCCGCATAGCTGAGGTTTGGCGGTGTCGGAGGTGGAACTGCGTTGGAGCCGTCAAATCGCAGCTGCTCTTGATCATTGTCAGGAAGCCACAGCTGTCACACTCGCGTTAGAAGTTCAGAATGAGAAAGTGTAGGCTATATAGAAATAATGAAGCTCAAACTGAAAATCATTAAACAAACTAATGAGGATTTCTATCAGCCTAATCGAGGTGTAGATTATATCTCACATTCCAGTGTTCCAACTTGTAAACAAGGCTGCATGGGATTTCTCTTAATGCGAACTCTGTGCAGCCAATGGCAATGTCCGCTTTAGGTATATGCCAGGTGCTGCTTGTTGATTTGACAGCTCTAACGCAGTTCCCCCTCCGTCACCGCCAAAACGTCCAAAACGGGTGTTGGCTATTGCCGGTTAACGCTTGATCTGAATGAATTTAGGCCTCAGTAAAAATCTGAATGGGCTCCTGTCGGGCACACTGTAACACTGTCACATCGTCTGTCTTGTTTTAAGTTGGTAATGCCATCTGGAGCACTCAAGGGTAAATCCCAAATGGCGCCCCTATTTTCTATTTGGTGCACTACTTTCGACCAGGGCCACAGGCCCTTCTCACAGAGAAGGAACAGGGTTTTAGATCATCCAAATCCTTACTAGTTTATTACATATCAACAATCGTTATAAACTAGTTGAATAGTTAGTTGTGAGTGACTCCCAGGACTGCTGTCATTACTGATTGCTCTGAGCAGCCATGTTGTTCTCTTTCCTAAATATACAGCTTCGACAATAACTGCATATGTTCAGATTTTTTGTGAAGCTTCTGTATACGCCTTGTGAGAAGCAATCAACCTCCTATTCTAACCACCTCTTGCCGGCTTTGTATTCATGTTACCTGATGAAATTGCTGTACAATATGATCTTGTTGCCTTTTGATGCACATTCAAATGTCATAAAAAATCGACACTGCAGAGCTCTCCCGTGCCCTGATTGTATTACTGCTGATGATATCTGGAAATGTGCACGTACACCCTGGCCCATCTACTGTTGCTAGCCCCAATTCTGACTTGTGCTCTGATATCTACTTCACTGATTTCTGCTCTCGTAAAAGCCTGGGTTTTCTGCACGTTAACACTAGAAGCTTATTATCTAAAATGGATCAATTGAAAGTGTGGGTTCACAGCTCTAATCCAGATGTGTGGGTCATTACTGAGACGTGGTTAAGAAAGAGTGTTTTGAACACTGACGTTAACCTTTCTGGTTATACCCTTTTTCGGCAAGACAGATCTTCTAAAGGTGGTGGAGTGGCAATATTTACCAAGGAACACCTTCAGTGGTCGGTTATCTCCACCAAGTCTGTCCCCAAACAATTTGACTTGCTGGTTTTAAGCATTAAACTTTCAAATAGCTCTTTGTTGACTGTTGCTGGGTGTTATCGTCCACCATCAGCACCGGACTGGGGATCGAACCCACTACCCTGGCATTACAAGCGCCATGCTCTACCAATTGAGCTACAGAGGACCTCATCATCCTCACAAATAATCCTGATAGGTATCAGTCTGGTGTTTTCTGTAATGACCTTAGTGATCACTGTTTTACAGCCTGTGTTCGTAATGGCTGCTCAGTGAAACGACCTGTCCTGATTTGTCATAGACGCTTGCTAAAAAACTTGAATGAGCAAGCCTTCCTTCATGACCTGGCCTCTGTAAATTGGTATGGAGTCAGCTTGATCCCCTCTGTCGAAGACGCTTGGACCTTCTTTTTTGATATTTTTAGTGGTATTGTTAACAAACATGCCCCCATAAAGAAAATGAGAATTAAAAAAGGTTCAGCCCCTGGTTCGACCGTGGTCTGGCAGAGTTACTCCACCTCAAGAATTCCATTGGCGAAAGGCTCAGCACACGCATACTCAGGCTGACTGGCTCTTGTTCAGGCAAATGAGAAATAAGTGCACTCAGGCTATCCGGAAGGCCAAAGTTAGTTACTTGAAGGAGCAGTTCTCTCTGTGGGTCTAACCCCAAGAAGTTCTGGAAAACGGTTAAAGACCTGGAGAATAAACCCTTCTCCTCACAGCTGCCCATGTCCCTTAATGTTGATGATGTGGTTGTGACTGACAAGCAGCACATGGCTGAGCTATTTAATCACCACTTCATTAAGTAAGGATTCGCTTACGCCCGCTACAAAGTTTCTCCCTGTAGGCGGTCACTGAGTCCGAGGTGCTAAAGGAGCTCCATAAACTTGACCCCAAAAATACATCTGGGTCAGATGGTTTAGACCCTTTCTTCTTTAAGGCCGCTGCCCCTATCATTGCCAAGCCTATCACTGACATTTTTAACCTGTCTCTCCACTCTGGGGAGGTTCCCATTGCTTGGAAGGCAGCCACGGTGCGTCCTTTATTTAAAGGGGGAGATCAAGCTGATCCTAACGGTTATAGGCCAATTTCTATTTTGCCCTGTTTATCAAAAGTGTTAGAAAAACTTGTCAATAATCAACTGACTGGCTTTCTTGATGTCTATAGTATTCTCTCTGGTATGCAATCTGGTTAGCTCTCAGGTTATGGATGTGTCACTGCAACTTTAAAGGTCCTAAATGATGTCACCATTGCCTTTGATTCTAAGCAATGGTGTGCTGCTATTTTTATTGACTTGGCCAAAGCTTTTGATACGGTAGACCATTCCATTCTTGTGGGCCGGCTAAGGAGTATTGGTGTCTCTGAGGGGTCTTTGGCCTGGTTTGCGTCTTTGGCCTGGTTTGCTAACTACCTCTCTCAAAGAGTGCAGTTTATAAAGTCAGAACATCTGCAGTCTCAGCCACTGCCTGTCACCAAGGGAGTACCCCAAGGCTCGATCCTAGGTCCCACGCTCTTCTCAATTTACATCAAGAACATAGCTCAGGCAGTAGGAAGCTCTCTCATCCATTTATATGTAGATGATACAGTCTTATACTCAGCTGGCCCTTCCCCAGATGTTGTGTTAAATGCTCTACAACAAAGCTTTCTTAGTGTCCAACAAGCTTTCTCTGCCCTTAACCTTGTTCTGAACACCTCCAAAACAAAGGTCATGTGGTTTAGCAAGAAGAATGCCCCTCTCCCCACCGGTGTGATTAATACCTCTGAGGGTTTAGAGCTTGAGGTAGTCACCTCATACAAGTACTTGGGAGTATAGCTAGACAGCACACTGTCCTTCTCTCAGCACATATCAAAGCTGCAGGCTAAGGTTAAATCTAGACTTGGTTTCCTCTATCGTAATCGCTCCTCTTTCACCCTAGCTGCCAAACTAACCCTGATTCAGATGACCATCCTACCCATGCTAGATTACGGAGATGTAATTTATAGATTGGCAGGTAAGGGTGCTCTCGAGCGGCTAGATGTTCTTTACCATTCGGCCATCAGATTTGCCACCAATGCTCCTTATAGGACACATCACTGCACTCTATACTCCTCTGTAAACGGGTCATCTCTGTTTAAACCATCGCAAGACCCACTGGTTGAAGCTTATTTATAAAACCCTCTTAGGCCTCACTCCTCCCTATCTGAGATACCAACTACAGCCCTCATCCTCCACATACAACACCCGTTCTGCCAGTCACATTCTGTTAAAGGTCCCCAAAACACAC